CAAAAGCACGGAAAATTTAGACATAGTAATTAGTTTTATTAATGTATTATAATCATATGATTATTAAACATATGTATCTCCTTAGAGATAATAAATATTTACTTTTTTATTGTTTTAAAACTGCGTGTTTTTAAAATATTTCTTTATAAATATGTAAAATAAATAATAGGTATCTTTTGAACTAATTCTACATTTTAAAATCTAGTCTTGTTCTCTCAACTACATTTTTTGTCTCAAATTTAAAGCCTAGCTTGAATCTATGACTTTATTTATTTTACTTTATTTATTTATTAAATTGCTAGTATATTTTACATATAATATTGTATGGTTTTCGAATGGGGGCGCTAAAAGGATATTGTGCCCCGGGCGCGAGTTAAGCTCGCTACGCCACTGGGTATGTCTTCGGATCATCCTCAAGGATGTTTCCCAGACCGTCGCCAATAGTCCATTGTGCAGCTCTAGTGCGACGTAAATGAACTACAACATTTTTAAATAAAATATACAAGAATTTTTATACATATATGTGATCGATAATTTCTTGAAACTTCTGGACCTTGGATTTCCGAATCATGGCTGGCGATCCGGAATTTTTCTGGAGCACAATCATCTCTGAACCCTTAGGGTATGCTTTCCGACAGAAATGGGACAAATATTTGCCTCGTTAACACCGTCATCTTGATTTCATCAGTCAGTTCAGCACTGACATTCGTTTTATTAAATATATCTGCTGACATTTTATCTCGAGTTGAAACAATTCGCACTCCTACTGCGGCGGACTATGACGAAATAGCCGAATCGCAACATAGCGATCCAGAACTGAAATTAATTTTGAGTACAAACTAGTTATTAAAATTACAAGAAATTGTCATTCCTGACTCCTCCAAGAGACTTAACTTTTTTGTGACACAAAATCTCAAATCATTCGTCCCTACATTCCACAATCTCATCATCGTACTATTTTCAAAACTTTCCACATATTGTCACATCCAGGCACTCGAGTTACGTCTAAACTAATCAGTTCCAAATTTGTCTATCAACAAAGACTGTGTAAAGTGGACTCGAGAATGCCTTGACTGTCAGCGATTGAAAATTAACAAGCATACTCGAAATCCGGTTGAATCAATACCCATTCCTTCGCGAAGATTCGATCATGTATAGTTGGCTCTCATGAGGCTGTTTGCGTAATCGAAAGAATTTCAATATTGTTTCATTTACATAGACTGTTATACACGATGGTTAAAAGTCTGTTCTGTAACAGACATGACATGCCACTATCACATCAGCATTTTTCACAAGCAGGATTGCCCGTTTTGGCATACCAACCTACATCCCGACTGATAGAGGAACAAATTTCGAATCATCATTGTTACACAACCTGACGAAATTGCTTGGAATTGAACGTTGCCGAAAGACAAGCTTTCACCTACAAAGCAATGGCTAGATAGAAAATTTCATGGGCTGCTCAAAGCCGTTTTGCTGTGCCATGCGATAACAGACAAGACAGATGTTCTACCAGTGGTTCTCTTCGGCTTGCGTTCTACAGTTAAAGAGAGCATCGATGCAACCCCAGCTGAACTAGTATATGGTGAAACTTTACGCTCACTCACCAAGTGATTTCTTCATTCCAAATTCAAATGATGATCCTCCACAAGAATTAGTCAGTAAATTACGACGTCTATTCTAGAACTTGTGACCTCGAGCAACATCACACCATGAGGATCGTCAAATTTTTATACATCCTGAACTTAAAACTTGTTCTCACGTATTCGTCCGTAGGGACTCGGTTAGAAAACCTTAACAACCTCTTTATGACGGACCATTTAAAGTTATCAGAAAAAAGAAAGAAAAACATTTCACTCTCCTCATACGTGACAAAGAACAGACTATTTCTATTGATCGTCCCCAACCAGAGCTTGGAATATTTTCACCCGAACCAAACAAGATCCAAACTCCTCCTTAACAGAACAGAATCTACCAAAGGATTCTCTGAACAATTTAAAGAAACCCGAACAACGGACGATCTGGCCGTCACGTTACTTTCCCTGATCGATGCGCATCAGTTCCCTGATACTGGCGGGGGAGTGTGCAGCGATAATTACGATCAAGAACATGAATTTTTCATTCGCCAGAACTATCTAAACTGTCTCTGTAGTATGACGTGCTGTGCTTTTTTATATTCACCTTCTTTTTACTTTAGTATTTTTGATGTTACTAAATTCTAAAATAATGTAAATTCTAATGATTAGTCTCCTGAACATTAACCAACCACCACACATAACTTAAAATATCGTCAGTACACATATTTTAATTTATATAAGGTTGATCCTTCAAATAATTAAAATTTGCATCATGCAAAAGTTAAGCTATTTTGTTTTTAATTTCACATACTGTACATAGTTTTATTTTAAATTTTTTACGAAATCTAGAAAATGTATATAAAGGGCACTTATTACCAAACATAATACATACAAAAAACATACATATATTTCACTAATTATTTAAATAAAACAACTTTTTATTTCACATGCTGCTCAATGATGTGAACAAAAATTATTTTTTTATTTAAAAAAAACCACATTGCTACTTCTAAAAAATTTTTTTTCTTTTTTTTACCTTTATGAACAAATTTCTTGACTCGAAGAATAACAATTAAATCTTATTACATGAAGTACAAATATTTTTATGAGTATGAAGAAGGTAGTGTCCAAAGTACTTTTCTTTCCAAAACCTTAATTTTATACACAACTAGTAATTTTTTTACTGGTATGATTCAAGTTATGTCTAGTCAAAAGACTTTTTCGAGAAAAATACTTATTGCATATAATACAAGAGTAAGGTTTTTTACCAGCATGGATATAGCTGTGTTGAGTTGCAGCACCTTTTGTTGAAAAACTCTTATCACATACACTACAAGAATAAGGTTTTTCACCAGAATGGATAGCAGCGTGCTTAGTTAAATCACCATTTGCATAAAATTTCTTAAAACATATTTCACAGGAATAAGATTTTTGTCCAGCGTGACTAAGATTATGTCGATATAAATGACCTTTTCGAGAAAAACTTTTTTGGCATACATCACAAGAATAAGGTTTTTCCCCAGTATGAACAGTGCTATGTTCAGTTACAGCACCTTGTGTAATAAATCTTTTATTACATATGCTACACGAATAAGGTTTTTCCCCAGTATGAAGAAAGTAGTGTCTCGTTAAAGTAGACTTTCGGGGAAAACTCTTACAGCATATATCACAAGTATGAGGTTTTTCATTGGTATGGACCACACTGTGGTCATCTAAGTTACTCTTTTGTGAAAAACCTTTATTACATACAACACAAGTATAAGGTTTTTCACCAGTATGAACCCGGACATGACGATTTAGCATATATTTCAGTGAATAACTCTTATTGCATAAATTACAAGTAAAACGTGTTTTACTACTTCCACCAGAGTCATGATTAGGTAAGGAAAGTTCACATACTGAAGTGTCACTCGACATTTTATTTGAATAAAAATTTGTTTTTAAAAAAGAATAAGTTAAATTACCCTTTTTTACACAAAACACTAAATAAGTACATAAATTACTTTTAATCTTCGGAACATTTTAATGTATATAAGGTTAAGTTCCTTTCAACTATTCATAGCTATTTCTGCATGCAAGCACAATTTATCACTCAATGTTAAGCTTCAAATTACTGCTCGAGTTAAGCTTTCAACAGTCTTGACTTAAGTATAACTACAAAAATCTTTAACTAATTATGATTATTACTCATTACTGAAGACTTAAAAGTTGCTAAATTGATTTTTCAGGATCAAGTAACTGAATAGGTGATAAAAGATATGGGGAAATAATAAGCTACATATCATATTTATAGTGCGATTTTAATAATTAACTTTGAATATTGCACTTTGGTACTTGAACTACATTTTTAGCTATGAAATTTAGAGAAAACTGTTTAGTATATAAACAAGAGTTTAAAATTCAGACAACAAGAAAAACTATATTCCGCACTAAACCATAGAACAAAGACTATATTGATTCTTTTTAAAAAACAGCCAAATGTTTGAAGATAATCTTGATCATGGTGCTATCTTCTGTAAACTTTCATATTGTAGCCTAAGAGCGAGTTAGTTATAACCTAGAATAAGGAACAAGTAGGTTAATAAAAGATGCAGAGCAAACTCAATAAATATGAGAATTTAAAAGTACAGTGAGGAAAAAGAAAGATTTCAGAATAACTTTTGTTCCAATGCTCAATCAGATTTTCATAATTTAAGTGCCAATCTTAATAATTCAAAAGAGTGCTAACTAATAAGCTAATTAATGATGCCAACTTCACATTTGGCAAATTTCACAATATCTCAGGAATGTTTTAAGTGAATGAAAAAAAATTTTACACTCAGATATAAATTTCACTTATTCATAAATATATGTAAATAATAACTTTTAATAAGTATTTATTATTTTTGTAATTTAATTTATTTAAGAGTCAAAGAAAGATTTTTCATTTCAATCTATGGAATTAAAATACTAGATCCAATACTTTAAGAAAATTGGTCAAATTATTTTTCAGAAATAAAACTGAAATATGAATCTTTTTTGATTTGTTATAACTCAAACATTATTTGACTGATTTTGTAAAAAGATTTTAGATTTTGTCATTTAAAATTCAGTAAATAACATTCCATTTTGCTCGTGCTTCAATTTTTTATTACTTTCTGTCCTACAAACCCAAATGAATAGCTTCAACAGCATTTCCGCCTCTCTCAATTAATTTTGGTAATTGGCAAAAAAATGAAATAATAAATTTCGTAAGATTGACGAGGCAAGTCATTAAAATCATAACCAATCTTTCGCAACCAAACACACACACAATAGAGAAACTCATAACCTATCCTTCATTTTTTACAATTTAACTAGTCTTAAACTAAAAATCAATGCTGCTATTACATAAAACCGGTTACTTTCTATTCTATCCAGACTCTTGATATTTTTAAATGACCTATTTTATTTTTAAAATTCAACAAAAAAGACACGTTAAGTTCAATGAGAAACGCCATGTTACAGTTCAGTTTCAATTTACTGTTGGAATGCTTTGGAAGAGGTGCCATTGACTAACCCTGTCTATAGGGACATACTATACATATTGTGGTCCCCCCCCAAATGTTGACTAAATTAATAGTGAGCAATAATTAATTAGCATATTTTAAGTCAGCCTTTTGAATCATTAAGATTGGTATTTAATTTGTAAAAATCAATGTAACAAAAATTAATCAGACTGGTAACTTTTTTTTTTTTGCTCTCTGCACAGCAAGTACTTGAAAATATCCAATTTATAAGAAAGTCATAAGAAATGTTCATATTGTTTTTTCCAATTTTCACTCATTGGAAGACTCATATCATGTGTCTGTGTTTGAATGTTGAAACTCTTTATTTAGAAGTGAATTTTTTTATTATAACAATTTGTCTTTTACCTATTAAATAATTAATACTTTTTAACTTTTGTAATACATGATATGGTAACAGTAATATCAAAATTTGTGCTGAATTGGGTGTATAATGGCCTTTAAGTCATGATCAGCTCTTCGACGTAAAACACCAATCTTTCACATGACATGCATCATAAACTAATTTAAACAGTTAAAAACTTATAAGTAACTGCTGAGGAAAAGAAAAACTATGAAAATGAAAATTTCTGCAGTTTTATAGTATAACATTTAAATTACATTAAAATGAATATAGAATTAAAATTAATTTTTTTAAGTATAAATTTCATTTCGAATTGAATTACTACTTCAATCCTGTCATTTATATAGAATTAGTACAAAACTATTTCAGGTGACATTACATAAATTCTGGCAATATTGATAGTATTGTTGGTTAATTTAATTAGCAATATTATAAATTTAGAAAAAAAAAATATTTAAAAATATTTTGATTCTAAAAATTGATACAATGATTCTAAAAATTTCTTGTATACAATATAAGTTAACGAAATAAAAAGTTCAAAAAATTAATGATTGTTATAAACTATGCACACTGAATATTTGTTAAGCATTTTTTAAAAAATTTTATCAAGTCAACTCTATCTGGGCTATTCTCTAAAAAGTATGTTATTTGATATTGATAAGATTTTCTCTCTTTTTTTTTTTATGAAACTACTAAAATCTTCTAACCACACTTTTTAAAAGCATTCAAATTAGTATATCATAAATATTACATGTAATTTGAATATGTGAAATGTCATCTCTGCTTCTGTTAAAATAAATTTTCAATTTAATTATTAAGCATGTTAAAAATACATTGTGTTAAATATTTTCTGTTGCAAAATGAAATTTTTTTTAAAGATATTAGAAAACTGCAAATATTATTAAATCATTCATTTAAAGATCACATATTAAATATAATAGGAATGAATAGTTTGCACGACCCTTTATCCTTCACATGAAGGTGAAATATGATAAATTTTTAGACTAAAAGTTGAACATTAAAATTACTTTATTTAAAGGGGAAAATGTTTTTTTAGTCTTAACTGTCAGTAATTTTATAAGTATTTTACTTTATTATATATAAATTTATGTTTCTAATTAATAATCTTTTTAGCTCAGTGCTATGCCTCTTTCAAATTTTTTAAAACTCTTATGCCCTTTAAGAACTTACAAAATTTTTAATATTCAAAACTGAAATAATGACAGAAGAAACATTAATAAGTTGTAGTAAGAACTTATTTCCAGGAAATTATTCAGCAAACACAGTAAGTAAATTTTCAAAACACATAATGAAAAATTGAAATTAAAAAAAAATAATAAAAAAATGGGATGTATAAAATAATTTTAATGATCTTTGATATTAATAAAATAAGTACTGAATATTTAAACTTAGTAAGATCGTTGTGCTTGCTGAAAAAAATATTTTATGTCAGGTTCAAGTCTTGTTAAGTTTCTGCTTTTATTACATCTTGCTGAACTTTCAAGCAGCAAATAATTTATGGCACTGAATCCCCATTCAACTAAATAGGAAGATGAAAATAATAATAATAATTCCTCTTTCTTACACATTTGGATTGGATATAGCATTACTTTTCAAACATTTAGCAATTAAATTGATAATTTCGGCCCTTTGTAGTTGGTGCCTATACTAAGAAAGTATCCATTCAATTATTTATTTGTTTATAAATTTGTAAGAATCTTCATTCATAGATGGCAATTTGTAGGGTTGTTCAGAAATTTTTTTCATAGTAGTAAGAACATTTATACTCTAAGGAATAAATTTTAAAAGTTAAATCTTAAAAAAAATATATATATATTTTATTTACCATGGCACTTTAATAATTCAAACAAATGTATATAATACATATTAGTTGGGCAATTACATTAAGTACTGGCAAAGTAGCTTAATTTTTAGAAAATTCTTAACAGTTTAAGTATTATTACATTACCTCTTTTTAAATTTTTTTACAACAGCCATAGAAGTTTGCAGTTATGATCACTTCTTTCAATTTACATATTTAATGATTACTAACACAAATTTAAACTGTTTGCATTAACAAGTTTTATTTTTCTGTAAGAACTTTAACTTACAATGAATTAGTAATCTTTTCTAACATTACTGGTCCATTGTAACCCAATTGAAGTCCATTGAAGAGCAGTTAGCAAATGCACATGTAACATTCTCACAGTTCAAAAAGTACTAATATGTTTTGGAATGTGCAATATTTAAAAACTTTACAAAATTGTGTATAGTAAAAAAAAAAAAAAATTAAAATCTTTCCTCAAAAAATCTCAATTTTTATTTTTAAAAAAAGTAACTTATAATAATTTTTCATTAAGCTTTTAATTTAAAATAACAGTTACATGACTTATTATTCTTTAATAGTTCCAAACAACCAATACAAGGAGGATGAAAAAGGAAAGATAACATGCCAAATTAAATCACCTGCTTTATAGAAAAAACGTAAGAGTTTTAAAGGATTCAGTAAATAAATGTTGCATGAGGCTTATAAATTTTTAAAATCAATGATTTCTTTTACAAAAAATCATTTCATTGAAATCAATAAATCCTGATCCATACATAAATAACATGATTGAGATTTGTTATTTTTTAAAAGTAGAGTTAAATGAAAAAGTTCTAAAATATAAAATCTAATGAAAATGATATAATTACAATATAACAGGTCTGTTCTGATGTCACTGAGCCAAACAGCTGATTGTACCGAATTGATGGACAAGTCTTATCGGAGGTGCCTAAAATGTAGAAGAGCCTAATTATCATTTGTTTAGATATCAATGCCTAATTAAAATGGTAGTAATGAGAGATTGATTAAAAATATGTAAGCAATGAGCACTTTTAAATTCGTAATTTATTATTCCGGTTTCTTAGAAAATACAAAAAACAGTATAATAGTTTTACACCTACTTTTATATTATTGAGATCTGATTACTGAAAATTCTCTCAAGAATTAAAAATAGCATTAAATAAAATATATTTTATGACTAATTTAATTTTGTATTTACTGTTACGTATAATTTAATTCTTTTAGTGATTTTAACAAAAAAGAAATCATTGAGATATACCAGTAAGTTGATCTATAGAGGTTTAAAGCTTTAGTTTAACCTTTAAATGGTTAGTTGAACATTTATCCTGAGATGTATCAGTAACATAATGATACGTATCTGCTAACCACTTTTAGTACTTGCTAGTACACATTTACCACTTCAAAGTTTCACAACCTGTATTCCTCAAAGTAAAATAAATAAATAAAAAAAACTGTGAGCATCAAACTATTATTTATGTGAATAATTTTTTTTACACATTCTATGGGAAAAAATGATCTTTTAGTGATACAAAAAAGATGATACTTTTTATAGAAAACTTTATTTTTACTTTTTATACAACTATACACTTATCTCACCAGTATGTACAAAGTTGTATTGATTAAATTATTTTCATAAATAAACCTTTATTACAAATGATATATCATAGTAAGATGAATCAGTTTGAACAAGTTTGTGACAATTAAAAGAAATTTCATGCAATGAGTAATTAAATCTTCCACTATATCTTTATGTCTGCATATGAACAAACTTATATTCAATTAAATTAATACAGTGGATTTTTTTCACAAAAATGAATGAATGAATGAATAAAAATCTGACCAACTTCTTGATTTAAAACATAATCTCCAAAACCTAATCTTATTTTAATATTGGAAATATATATTTCCTAATCATAAAGTATGTACAAAATTAAAAGGAAATTATTTTAATATGGCATAAAAAAAAAGCTGTTCAAATTCAGATTTCAAAAATTTGTAAGCTGATTTTAGATACTAAATATTAGGATATCTTTACAAACTTCACTGTGTAGTAACTTAAACACCTATCAGTTAAAAATACTGCAATATGTTTAGGGAAGGTGAACAATATTTTAATAAATAAAATAAAAATATGCTGTGACAGACATGAAGAAAAAAATGGATATGAGTAAGTAAAAAATGTGACCAATTTCTCTGAAATTTTGCTTAGTTATGAGTCAGAATTTTTAGTTAAGCAAAACAAGACTTAATTTTAAGATATGAAATGATCAAATTTGAAGAAAATACTTTCTCTAAATAATATTTACTGACATGACAGACGAGGAATTGTGACAGACATGTCATGAGTAAAATTCTAAGTGTATTTTGGTTATCTTTTACTATAAATGAAAATATTAAATTTTTATTATGCAAAAAAAGTTGCAAATGGTATCTTTTATGGAGGAAATGCAAAAAAAAGTACTTAAAATATTTCTTCCGTGAATTTGAAATATTTATTCTCCATAGCTGTTGTTAGAAGTATAGTCCCTATATCCTGTTCTAAAGTTGAATAGGATGCATTTTTCACACTTTAAAACATTATACCAGGCGGACAAGGCCATAAGTAATGTGCCTTTTTTATCATTCCTCTTATCTCAATTAGCCATATTGCTGTTGCAGTATTACATAGATTTTAAATATTTATTTTTTTTTATTGGTTTACATGTTCTGAATAATAAATAATAATGAATAATAAATAATAATTTCAATAATTTATTTCGTGCAAATTCTTTACATTATTAATTTTATCAAAATTTAAATGCCCATCTCATATAATCTGGAAATATTCACTTGTTCATTCTTAACTTTTGTTAATACTCTGCTAGGCTTGCAAAATTTGTTTGCAATCATAAGCAGATCATATAACAAGGTTTAATGTTCAGATTGAGAAGTTAACTAATGCTGTAAGATTCATTGTTATCAATAGCAAAAAAAATATTAACTAAATTATGCCTTGGAAACAAATGTGACAGTAATGATAAATGTGAAACACATGACAAAATTACTCTATTATTAACTATCTGAGGTTATCATAAAAATTTGCATAGTTTTCATTCATATTTTAAATACATTTTTTCAAATTCCGTGAGTTAATGTTTGATACAAAAAAGAATTGAAAGATATAATACAGAACTTAATAGAATATCAGAAGTTAAAATTTTGAATATGAGACTTCTGACTTTTCTTTTCAAAGACAGCTTAACATAATTAATCATAAAAATATAACAACATTAATATAATGTTTTTTATTATTTCATGAAATTCTGATTTTTTTTTCAACCAAAGCCAAACTTCTTGACAAGAAAAAAAAAAAACTTTTTTTTAAATTTAAAAAATTGTTTTTGTGTCTGTTTTTCATGAAATTGCAATGAATATCTATTTCATTTTAAATAAATTTGACCCAGCATTTGCATGTATTATGTATTAATAGAAAAAAAAATTCTGCAGTAAATTACTTTTCAAATGCATTGTTATGATTAATTTTTAACACTATTTCGATTAAAATTATATTTATAAAATTAACTAATTACAAAAAGTTCTTACAAATTTTTTTTAAAAGAACTGATTTTTCAATTAATTTGTTAAATTGGAGTCCTAATGTATTTAAGAAAATCCTTATTACATCTAACTAAGGTTTTTTGCTGGTATGTCGAAGGTTATGTTTGACAAAAGCACTATTTTTTCTAAAACCCTTATTACAAATACTACAAGTCAGTTTTGTTTTAGTATGGGTCAAGTTGTGTTGAATTAATTCACCTTTTCGTAAAAAATCCTTATTGCACACCTTGCAAGAATAAGGTTTTTCCCCGATATGAATTAGGTTGTGATGAGCAACAGCACTGCTTGATGAAAAACCTTTATGACACACATCACAAGAATAAGGATTTTTATCAGAATGGATAGCAGTATGCCTAATTAATTCACTGTTTGTAGAAAAACTCTTATTACATATACTACAGGAATAACATTTTTGGTTGTGACTTAAGCTGTGTCTATGAAAATTACTTCTCTGAGAAAATTTCTTCTGACATACAATACAAGAATAGGGCTTTTCACCAGTGTGAACAGTATTGTGCCCAGCTAAAGCATCTTTTGTAGAAAAAGACTTATTACATACACTACAAGAATAAGGTTTTTCACCAGTATGAGTAAAAGAGTGTCTCATTAAAGAAGCCTTTTGAGAAAAACTCCTGTGACATATATTACAAGAATGAGATTTTTCACCAGTGTGGATCACACTGTGGGCAATTAGATTACTTTTTTGATAAAAATTTTTATTACACACAACACAACAATAAAGTTTTTCACCTGTATGTTTTTGCATGTGACGCTTTAACAAACATGGTTTTGAATAACTCCTATCACACACATTACAAGCAAAAACACGTTTATTAGTACCTCTGGAGTCAGGAGCGGTTATAGAAAATTTATACTCTGAAGTGTTAATAGACATAGTACTAGAATTATAAGAGTGAGAATAGGCTGGACTGAGTAATAGAAGAGAATAAGCTCAAGTAATTAACTCTTTTTTTAAATGAAATATCAACAATAAAAAGGATTTTAAACAATTCCCAAAACCAAATATATTTTTAATGTTAATTTTTTTCAATTCAAATATTTTTTAGGTATTTTTGCAGACAAGCGTTATTTATCACAATATGTTATGTTTTAAATTATTGCTGTTGCTAAGCAATCTGCTAATTCTTGATTTAAGTTTTATTTATCCAAGAATATTAAGCAGGGATTTTTGCAAGTTAAATTATATCACAATGCATGAAAAACACAATAATAAATGTTTGAAATTTAACATAAATACACATGAAATTACTCAATGCTAGTAATATATTTAAAAAAAAAAATTTAAAAAATAAAAAACAACAAATTTTCAACTCTTTACATTAATATTAAATATAAAAGCTAACAAACAAATTTTTCATAATAAGTAGCAAACAACTGGATAAGTGATAAAAATAGAGTGAATAAGATAGATTTCACATTTATAATGCAATATCAAAAACAAATTTTGAAAGAATGAAGACTGCATTCTTGAGTGATCATCTTCAGCTATAATAGATTTAGTCAAACCTTCTTTACAAGTCTAACAAGTGTTCAAATTTTAAAATTCAGATATCAAAGAAAAAATTAATGTCTTCATTAAGTCACAGAACAATGAATGAATTGATTGTCTTTTAAAAACAGTCAAAAGTTAAAGGTTTACTAATAAGGAGATAAGCTGATCATGGTGAAATAAGTATTTGAATATCTCCTATTACCTTTTATATTGTAGTCAAAAAGTGTGTAGATTTTCACCTAGAAAAGAAAAATAAATTATGTAACATAAACTTAATAAAAATACAAACAAAAATCAAAATGTAATCAAGGTAAAAAAAATAATTTCACTTTACTGCATTAGAGAAATTTGTAATCAAAGAGATTCAACGCATAAGATAAAAAAAAAAAAAAAATTACCAGAAAAAAAAAATTGGTTTTAGTATCTAAGAGGAATTAAATTTTTTTATTAAATAATAGCTTAATATGCAAAAGTGTGAAAGAAACAATATCAGTTTGTCACAGAATTTGGTTTTTGATGACAAAAACTTGGGGCAAGTTTCTTTTTTGACATAAGGGACATTTTATTACATAATAAATCATAAACAATGCTTGCGTCATTTACTATTACAATTATTATTTATATTATATATCATGCATAAAAAATATTGTCGAAATTATTGAAACTATTAATTGGTCTTTCTAATGGTAATCTTAATACTTAAAGACCCATATTTTAACTATTCAGTCTATATAAAAAGTAATAACTATGAGTCATTAATTATTATCAATTCTAAAAATTAATTTTAATTCTCTTATGTTATAATTTAGGTGATTTCTAAAAAAAATTAAAAGTGTAAGTAAAATTAGAGAGTTCGTCTGATCTCAAAGTATAATTTGTTTTATTGATTTTCAATATTTGTAGTTATTAACTATATTCAGGGAAGCAGAATATGTCTGACTGCACAAACAAGGCTTTTGAGGAAATTCAGACAGCCATGGGAAAATTTTTAGTCAAAAAAGTTCCCACAAAATTCTTTCATTAAAAAATTCATCATTTTACAAAACTATTAAATGATGAATGCTTGTTCATTTGACTTTACATGAATTGTATAAAATCAAATTAATTTTTTTTTCATATACCTGAGCTTAATTTTCCAAAAATATTTTTAAATAATATTTTTGGGAAAATTCTGATCTTAAAAGAAATTTTATTCATAGGGAATACAAGGCTCTGAGAATTTTCTCCACTCGTGCTTATATGTACATGAATATTTCTAATCAGTTCACTGATTAGGGAACTAATTAAAAAATATAAATGTTTGTTTAAATGAGTTAATAACTCAATCAATTCAAGACTTTAATTAAATTACTATTAATATTTAGTACAGTTATTAGAATAAATTTCCTAGTTACATATTATTTTAGGTTAGTTACTAGTTATAATAGCTTTAGTACGTTTACTTTCTAGACTATGCAGCTCAGCATCAATCGAAAAAATAGTTTCAAATTTTGGTCTCATTCATACAAAACTGAAAAATAAACTTAAAGTACAGAGGACTATCCATTTTATATTGAACTATAGCAATAGTGGCTAAAAACAATTTATTAAAAAAAAGTTTAAAAACTTTTTGTTTGACACTATGTTTTTGAATAGATGCACATTATAATTTTAAGTTACAGTTTCAGCATAATTTATTTTAAAACAGGGTTGGCATTTTGGCACCTATTTTTTCCAGACAGGAATCCTGATTTAAATCACTTGATTCTATTGAAAAAATAATGATTTAATCAACAGATAATTTTTTATAAGGAAATTATTGTATCATGTTGAAAATATCTTTTAATATAATTTTAAAATATACTCAAAAGATGGTGATTCTTTTTTCAAAGTTTGATTTAATTGATTCTGTCATTATAAGAAACATTTATTTTTCGAGTTATGTATATATAAAAATAAAAATATTCGGACTCAATAAAAAATAATTAAAATACATTGTTAATATGATGAAACTATGTATACTACAAAATTTTAGTTAGCTGTCACAAATAAAATAATGCTCTAAATTCAGATCACAAAATATTCGAGCTAATGCAAAATATTACACTAATTTAAAGCTAATCAGAAAATGAATTCAATTTACAAAAGCAAAAAAGAAACAAAGAAGTAAATAAACTATTAAAACATTAAATCAAAATGGAAAAGTGCCTAAAGCAGCTAAAAACAAATTTGCATTATTTAATTTAGAAATTTAAAAACTAACCATTACGGGAACAGGGCCAGAAACTCCTTAAAAATTAGGTAATAAATCTAAATCATGAAAAACATAATTTACTAAGATAAATAACATAATAATTTCCAAACAAGATTGAGCAAATGAAGCAAATCCAGATATGAAAATAAGAAATCTAATCTAGATATGAAAATAAGAAAGCTAAAGTTTTTCCACTGACAACAGAAAGGCTCCTGTGTGTTTGTAGACAGTGTGTCCACTGAAGAAGTTCTGTCTTACAGACACACATATATTTTAATTTTTAGATTTAATATTTGTTTGAATTGCTGAATTGAATTTAAAGCCTAACAGCTATAGATGTTTGGGAATTACTATTGGAAAAGACATTCATCTTTTTGAGAGGATTATCTTAACTATATCTAGATTTTATTTGGGGTACGGTGCCAAAATAAGAAAATTCGCATAATAATATAAAATATCAATATATTTTTAAAAGCATTTATATTTCTAATACGAATTTAGTTTATCAGTTCATTTTAACATGCAATAAATTATTTTATCGCATGAATGTGCGGTTATGCAGCAATCTCAACGATTTCAAAAGTTGCTTCAAATTATTGCTATTTTAATAACTATTATATTCCTGGTATTATGTTATACATAGAAAGTTTTACAACATGAAGAAGCAATTAATTCACTTTAGAACCAGAATAACTAAAAACATGGTTAAATAATTTTCACAACCATATTGTAAAAGTAAAAGGTTGTTCTATTTACCAGATATTTACTCAACAAATGAAAATGCTTTTACATTCTGATATAGATATTCCCGTGTTGTAACAGACTGATTAGATAAATATAAATCTTTAAATGAATTTTAACTCCAATAACTGGTCCAGTATCGTCCAGACCTCATTAGCCTCTTTAGACAACCAGAGAACAGTCCAGGAAAACAGTCAAACACACAACAAACAAAAAAAATTGGTTGATTGATAATCGAGGACGCTTTAGGTTACTTATTTCGGCAAAAATGTGGAAAGACTATCGAATCGTCCTTTAATGGAGCTCTTTCCTGCAACGTCACCAAATGTTGGATTGAACATTATCAACAGTAAGGCTCCTTTCCTAAGTGACTAAAAGTATTAAAATAAAAATAATTTAAAGCTAGGTACATAATTTGTGTCTTACTAGAGCTGCTCAATGGGCTGTTCTCTGTAAGAGGGGTTGTTTTCCCCGCCTGACGACCTGCGCTCGACGCTCGATGTCTAGCACTTTACATTAGAACAGTTTAACAAGGACCTGTACCACGCACCCTCAATTCCAACTCGAAAGGTCATCCATCCTCTTACTGATCGCAGTCAACTATGCTTGACTTCGCTGTTCTACTGGAAACCGTGTGATCAGTTCACTGTGGAACGAACTCATTAAAGACATCCAACTTATGGTATACATTTTTAGACCACAAAATCCTCATTCGTTATTCCTTCATCCCCAAAAAATGAGAAAGTTCTCCCCCAGAAAAAAATGGCATGCATCTAAACTATTTCGTCCAATGGCATATTAAATTTCAAACCTAATTTATGCAAATTTTAATATTGACTTTTTAAAATATAGAGTAAAAATACCTAATTTTTTAAACTAAATTCTTCCGCATCCGCAATATGGTAGTAGTAATTTATTTAAGTCGCATTACTCCAGAGATGTCTAAGCTGGCTTCACTTTCCTTACCTCCACAGGAAATCCATCAATGATCAATCAATTACAGATACCAACCTATAGGAATACGTTTCCATCGGGAAGAAAATATTAATCGTCCAACAGGAATGAAAATAACGACAATTAATTGATTTATGCTCTTAAATGATACAGTTTAGTCTTAAGCTTTGACACCTCTATCGGCTGTCTGTGACGGTCTGGGAAGCATCCTTAAGGATGACCCAAAGACATACTATCTCAATTTTTATCTTCTGCAGAAACCTTCCAGCTTTGGTAGCACGACAATCTGCTCGTGAAGTCAAGCACTTTACGATAGAACAGTAACGAGGACCGATACCGCATACCCTCAGTCTTTTCGCAGGCTGATGAAAATGGTCATTCACCGCTGCCAATGAGGCTTGATTTCGTCGATCTACGGGCAACCGTGTTTTGAAGATCAGTCACCTGCAGCATCTGCTACTACTATAAGTGCGGCTTTCAGGAGAATTCCTCCAGACACCCGTCTCGCGTCGTGGCAGATACTATGATTACGAGGAATGGTTACTGCCAATACGGGTGTGGGGTAAATAGTTTTGTCTTAATCTTAGTGTAGGTTGTCATGAGTAAACCAATCGACACCTTCTTTCCTGCATTTCACCGTCTTTCCTCCATTTAGAAATGTGCTCTCGCTTGTTACCATAGCAGACAGCCCCAGACTTTCAGTCTGAAATAGTTGTCCTCAAAATGCATTATATGTGTATTGTTTTTAATACTAGTTATTTATTTCTAACCATCAACAATCATTCCAAAATGATAATTACAAAATGGAACAAAGCATTTTTTATTAATAATTTTACATTTTTGAATCAAGTTAATTTTTTAAATTTTCAACCTTTTTTAAAAAATCGTAAAGTGTATGATTTGTTAGTAAGCAAAAACCTTCTTACTTAAGTTAGAGTTTAAATTAATGTATTTATTCTATAGAAATTTGAAATCTCTTCTTTTGTCAAAAATTATGAACGAAACCTTTTCATCTTTAATATTTAAAGCTAAGACCAAATATTTAGCTGATTGGTTACCTTATTAGCTTTATTTAATTTCAATTGCTGGGATATATTTTATCTGCAATTTATTTAAATTCTCATATTTAATAATAATAAAGATAGGACATTTTAAAAAAAAATTCTTTTTTTAATTGTGATCGCCGCAAGGCCACAGGTTACCCATTGGCAAAATGGTTGCTGTCTAATTTTTTTTCTTCTTCTTCGGTAAAGCAACTTTATTGTGTTTTCATCTTCAACCTCTTTAACTGTTAATCCTGAACTGCTCAGGGCACTATTTCACAGACATATTGGAATGCAGCTCAGACACATTCTGGGTAAATTTTTTTGATGACTGAATAGACATTGAACAGCCAATCGAGATCAATATTAACATTTTCAGATTGGTACAATGGTGTTTGAAGGAGATTGTAAGCTGCATCATACACCCGTTTCGGATTCACAAGTTCATACATGAAATATGATTTGAAAGCTAGGCTTTTTATTTTTCAATTTTACATGAATAGTGAATGAATCATTTATATTGTACGGAAGACAGTCTACGGTTTTGTGCAAGTCATTGGGTACGTTGACTATAGATCCTTCTATCCTTAACACCCAACTAATCAACACCCAGTTCTCGTATTTGCATGAAAGGAGTTCAGAGAATCATCACTCGCTCTTTGGTAGGGTTCTATTCTCTCAACCACTTTATACTTTTGTGAGAGACGGGCTTCATACTTGAGTTTGCGAACGGAATCCTTTCATTTTTCCCTTTGTGCGTACGCTTAAGGTATTCCCGTCTACGTTCTTTGGCGTTTTAAGACTCGGTAAGTTTAGGCCTTGGCATCGTTTTTTTTTCTTTTTTTCTTCTTCTTCTTTTTCTGTTTTTTTTTTTTTTCTTCTACTTTAACTTTGGGGACAGTGTTAATCAGTTTTGACCCTCTTTATGTGTGATATTCACCTGAATTAGTATTGAAAACGATTCAGCAGTATGAACTGTAGGTTAAAATTTTTGATTCTTAATTTAAAAAAAAGAAACAAAAATATCGTTCAAATGATGAGATTCTCTTTTATTCACAACTCATGGAGTATTTATGGGGTCTCTCTGGTCCCATATCTCAAAAATATACTCACCAACTTAATGCATAACAAAATTAAAATGAAAAAAAAAAGAGTTCTAAAAAAATTATCAAACAGCAGCGGTCGCTATAGCAACGCAGGCATTGTCGACGCATGCACACTGTTTACTATTACTCTTGATTATTGTAGTTGAAAAATATGAGGACACCATCAAATCCAAACCAAGATCTATTTTGCCAATGAGAAAAAAGAAGAAAAAAAGAAGGTAGATAGTTATTTGAATTCAGAAAATTCCTGAAGAAAAAGAAAAATATTACAAATATTGACATTAAAACTGTTATCTTATAGAACACCGCTAATGTATTGACATAAACGATTATTAAAAAGATTATAGTTATTGTTAACTAGGAACTTTTTTCATCAATATTATTATAACCTAATTACGTCATAATCGCGCGGTAAGGCAAAGAAGGGTAACATTTTAATTTTTTTCCCTATGAAAAGGCGAGTAAAGAAAAGAAAAAAATTATGATAATTGTTTAAATGAAGTACATAACATTTAATTTAGAAATAACTTCTTTAATAAAAGAATAATGCGAAAGGATGCTCATTAATTAATGGCGGAAAAGGTTTTTATTGATCATGTATAAAATTATATTCCATCGTAAAATCACATTATTCTATTAAATTTTTATGTAATCGTTTCGCTTTTAAACTTCATCAACAGCTACAGCTATGATGAATTTGGAAATTTTGTAAACTAAAACTAAACTAAAAATAATGATAATACATCGAACGATTTCATTAATTTCAATTAATGTAATAAAAAGAGGTTTTTATTACGCTTAGCGATAAATTAGAATCGAACAATTATTAGAAAAATTACTAAAGAATTCACATTTTTTTTATAAATGTGACTGTAAATAATGGTTTTAGAGCCGGAACATTTTTAGTGTTAATGAATTTTTTTTAGTATTGTTGAAACTTTATTTACTTCTTAAGTAAATTTAAAATTTCAGATATTTCACATAAATCCATCTTGATTCGCAAAACGAGTAATTTCATGAAAAGACGGTAATTTTAAATCAAACCGCTTCGTTCCTTTAATTTTACTTTTGCTACGAAAAAAAACCTAACAGGTTATGTTGAAAATTCTTTATTAGGTAAGCTCCAAAAAATATCTCTGAGTTATGCCAAGGGTGACACCAAGTTATCTTTAGAAGGTTAACCATTGGGATCCACTTATTTTAACACCTATGGTGAGGGTGGAAGATAGTATGAACCGTTTCCCCATGCATCCACACACCTCCTCGCGTCACTGGGAAGGGCAACTTCTTTTTCAATCATTGGTTGCATTGACAAATATGGTTAGAATGCAGCATTAAAACCTACACTGTCTAGTTTTTTCTCCGGATCTAGCACCCTAAAACTTTTATTGATTTCTCACATTTTGAAAAAAAAAAAAAAAACTTTTTTCTTTTAACCGCTTTGTGCCTAGCGTTCCCTGTGCCTAGCGTTTTTTTTAGCGACTCCCTTTTTTAAAGAAGAAAAAGGTGATAACGGTGTTTCATTAATATGATTTATTTTTCTGAAAGAAGATTGTTCTGTCTATCATAATACAGGGTGTTCTCGAAAGATCGTTCTTTCAAATCAATAAAAAAGCTTTAAAGTTAATCACGCCTGACAGAAATTTAATTTGTGCTATATTTAACGATATTTATCATAGAATTATTTAAAAAAAAGGTTATGGTTTTGTAGTCTTACTGGAATACTAGACAAGGCGACATGTTTCGTTAAATAAAGAGAACAATCATTCTTGCAATCGAAACTACTATATGACATTGAAAGAATATTAGATTTGATTGGACTGCTATAAATCATTCGTTTTTTGTTGACCATGCCTTCAACAAATCAAATGCGAGATAAAACATTTTTACTTTTCGTTGTAGATGAAAAACGTCTGAAAGAAATAATGTTTATTAATTCTACAAGTAGTTTTTTTTTTAATGCGAACAGAAACATGTCTATTTATTACGATTTTTTTGTATCATTTTTCTTAATTCTTTGTACTTGTCATTTGATTATTATTGTTAATAACGGTTATTTGTTTGTCCTCATTTACAATTTCTGTTTTGAATTTATTATAAATCACGTTATTTAATTCCTTTTTTGGAGTGTCTACTCCATCTAAGAATATGTTCCCAGCTTCTCATTTAGATGCACTTGCTGATTCATTTTAAGAAAAATAATATCAATAAAATTCCAATATGATGCTACTTTTTAATTTTACAGTAAATAATACAATAGTTTTTATTCAAAAAGTTTTTTCCCTCATTTCACACAATTTAGGAAAGCAACAGAGTACTAGATTTGCAACAGAGTACTAGAACGAGTTTTTGTTTTTAGTACACCGAATTTCATTTATTTATTTGTTTGAGTTTTTTATTATAGACCCCGCTTTCTCCAAAATTGTGAGATGGAGGAATGGCAAAACTTAATTTGTTTTAAAACTTAAAGAAAGGCTTTAAAAAAAATTTCCATTAAAATAGAAAATAAAGATTATTATTTTTTTCTTCGCAATTTTTTGCAACATGTACTTATAAAAAATGTACTTATAACTCCATTTGCAAAACATTTAAATGATTTAAGGGCCAATCGATGCATATAAAAATAACATTTTGCTGTTATGTCAAATGTGTTTGAAATTTCAAATTTTAATTATCGAATAATTTTTGCGTTATGAGAGTAAGAAGCGTAGAAATTTTTTGACAGCTACAACTATTTTATTTATTACAGAAGTAATTTTTAAACTTACAATGTGTGGTAAATTGCACCTTACAGTACAAAATACATCGATAACAGGAAAAAAAATGTGATTTAAATTTACATTAAAATGAATCTGCACATTATGGTATCAATATTAGTGATTTCAGATTTTTAGAAACACACTTGAAAAAATGATGTGAGAAAAAAATGTTAAGTATAAAATTCGTTTTAATTTAAATATTTTGAATTAACTTGTTTGAGCCCCCCTGTCTAGGGAGACTTGACCCCTTGTCGGGCAAAATCTGGCCCCATCCTTGATTGATTAATGGCGGAAAGGGTTTTTATTGATCGGGTACAAAATTGCATTCCATCGTAAAATTACGTTATTGTATCAAATTCTTATGTAATCGTTTCGCTTTTAAACATCATTAACAGGTATGATGAGTTTGAAAATTTTGTAATCTAAAACTAAATAATAATAAAAAATAATACATCGAACGATTTCATTAATTTTAAAAAAAGGAGGTTTTTATTACGTTAAGCGATATATTAGAATAGAACAATCATTAGAAAAATTTCTAAGGAATTCAGATTTTTTTATAAATGTGACTGTAAGTAACGGCTTTAGAGCCGGAACATTTTTAGTGTTCATGATTTTTTTTAAATATTGTTGAATCTTTATTTACTTCTCAAGTAAATTTAAAACTGCAGATATTTCACATAAATCCATCTTGATTCGCAAGACGGTAATTACATGAAAAGATGGTAATTTTAAATACGAACAGCGTTCCATCAAAAAGTCCACCACGAAGGCAAAATTCCTCCCAATACTCAATCCAGGAGTTTCCTGGATTGGGTTCAAAATTACAAGGCTGCAGAGTTGAACACTAGTAGTAATAAACTCAATAATTGGGTTGGCTGTCCAACGATAGTTATAAAATAAAACCAGCCCATGAAAATTTACAAACTGCTGACAAAAACATGATCCAAATCGGCTCTCAAGTTATTAACTAACAGACTTTTGCTTTTACAAAATAGAAAGATTAGTCAAATATTGAATAGCTCTTGTATGGCATATCCATGATAGAAAATAACGTAGGATTAAATTTTGCAGTATCGCATTTTTCTAAAAGAAGATTCAATTTATGATTTTGCATTTATTCAGAAATAATTTACATTTCTGCTATGCGATATAATATCAATATGAGAATGCCTATCAGCTTGATTTTTTTCTCTCTCTCATTTAAATTATCATTCTATTATTCATTTTGTGTTTTCAGTTTCATTTTGTTATCGAAGAAGCATTGTAGGGTCATCAGTTGCATTATTTGTGCTTAACACTTTCAAACTGTATTTAAAGTAAAATAGAAAGAAACTATATTTTAATAACATTTTGACAGGAATCTTTTTAACACTGTCTGATTGCATTTACGTAAGTACCATATTTCTAAAAAATTTTCAATATGAGTTAAATTCATCGGTAATTTCTAAAATAATTTGTTAAGAATAGTTAATTTACTATTTTTTGTCCTCGCCTTCGCAAAAAAAAAATTAAAAAAAAAAATTGTGCACATTAAGGGTCATAAGTTATTGTGCATGCGAAGAAACAAAAACGATGTCGAAATCTGTCAGACGGCGAGATCATAGATATCAAAACCAGTTTCATGACCATATGAAAAGTGGTGATGTTTCTATACTTTTCAAATAATTTCTGCTTCTTTCGGCAATCAAACAGGTTTTGAGGTTTTCAGTGGAGCCCTCTACTGAAGTGATTCGTCAGATTTTAAAACTGTTTTTGCTTTTTTCCTCTCCTTTAAATCTTGATGCAGATGGGACAATGGTGTCCCTTACATATTTTTTTTCTGAGGCTGCAATTACAAAAAAAAAATTATTTTAGTAATTTTTATTTTAATGGTTTATAAATATTATATTAATAATTAATGTTAATTTTATATTATAGTTTCTAAATATAGTTTTAGATTAATAGTCATAAAAAATATGTCAGATTATCGAAATCATATTCGTATTAAAATATAAAATCCAAAAAAGTAGTTTAAAAAACAATTTTTTTATTCCTATTCAAAATTTATCAATAACAGATTTTGTGAATGAAAAAATATCAATGATGAATAACTGCTCTCTAATGGCTCTATCACATGAGAGAAAATAAGAGCAACCGTAAGTGGAACCTCCACTCTATCCGCAACTCTTATAATATTTTCACTTATTTTAACCAAAATTAATGCAAAATAATAAAAAAGGTACGAAAAATATTTTTAAAAAAATTTCAAAAAGGTTAATTCTTAAAAAAATTCATCGAAAGGATAAGTATTAATTTACAACCCGTTTTCTTTTAAATTTTAATTACTTAAGAAATTTAGCAATATTATACAGAAACTGTAATAATCATTTTCAATATACGTATGCTTAAATTTTTTTAAGAAAAAAAAACTTTGCACATTAGAGGATATTTTAAACTTTGAACATTCCAAATTAATACTTAAGAAATAAAAACTATCTTTTTTCTAAAGACCTCAATAACTATCGGTTTAAATGGCATTTTGAAATTATTACGGGACTTGTCCTGTCAGTTTTTTTTTTTCTTCCTTTTCGTAGCAGTGTGTAAACTATACCATTAACCAAAGAGGTGGAAACTGACGTTTTTCTCTCAAAAAAATTTTTTTTAAGAAGTAAGACATTAATTCAGCACAGCTTCTTTTAACTCTAGTCGAACAATTAAATAGCACACTTGATCGCTTTACAGAGTGTTCCTTAAATACCGCCCTTAATATGCATTTTTTTTAATCCTTATCAAAAATGAACTCAGAGAAGTATGTACATTGGGAGTAGAAAATTAATATTTTGCGAAGGAAAAACAAAAATGCTATCCATATCTAAAAAATTACATCTGAGGTAAACGATAATAATCATTATCGTATAACATCAAAATAAGTTTAACTGAAGACACTTGAAGATGTTTACTTGTCCTTACCTATTGTATTACATGAATGTGTTCAACTGTTGCTTTTTACATACACCTTCCTGCACTGTAATTTGCTAGATTTTGATAGCGTTTTTGTTCTCTTTTGTTTATCAAAATTATAGATAAAAGAAATTATTTTATCATTTTTTATGCTAATTAGTATTGAAATGACTAACTTATTTATAAGTTAATATCTTTTTCTTTTTCAGTTTCACAGGTTTTATAATTTTTTTTTCTATTTTAAATGGTAAATAATCACGTTTTACGGCATTGAACTTCGAATGACGTAATACAGATAATTATTTTCGTCATTAAAATCAAAGATATATATAGTCTAGATAATGTAGGAAAATTTCCTACCTGTTCAAACTTATGTAAAAATAAAATTATTTATGTCTGCAGGGTTTAGATTTAAATGATGAGTGGACAACAATTTTTGAAGAACTCAATTTCTGTAATTGGTAGACGGAAAAAAAGGTCCCGGAAAAAAAGGTACGGAAAAAAAGGTCCCGGTAAAAAAGGTGCCTGGAAAAAAANTGTAATGTTTGGCAACTGTTTGGCGATCGTTCAGGCGCACTTGGCGCATTGTGTCACCCCTTCGGGGGCATGCTAGGAATCGAGGGAGAGGTATGTTTATATTGGTCGGGAGAGGTTCTCCCTTGGTTGTTTAAGAGCTGGAGGCTCTGAGTATAAAGTATAATGACTAGTTTCTTTTAGTTTCAAAATAAAGTTAAGTTTATTGTTATGAAAATCTGGTGTAATTATTTGCATGGAATATAGTCATTACAGTTACTTTCTACTTAATTGCGTAGTATTTTTTTGTTTTGTTTTTGTTTCTTTAACTTCATTTTGAAATTATTACGGAACTTGTCCTGTCAGTTTTTTCTTTCCCTTCCTTTTTGTAGCAGTGTGTAAACTGTACCATTAACCAAAGAGATGGAAACTGACGTTTTTCTCTCTCAAAAAATTTTTTTTAAGACGTAAGACATTAATTCAGCACAGCTTCTTTTAACTCTAGTCGAACAATTAAATAGCACATTTGTTCACTTTACAGAGTGTTTCGTAAATACCACCCTTAATATGTATTTTTCTAATCCTTATCAAATATGAAGTCAGAGAAGTATGTACATTGGAAGTAAAAAATTAATATTTAGCGAAGGAAAAGCAAAAATGCTATCCATATCTAAAAAATTACATTTGAGGTAAGTGAATGTAATAAACATCAAAATAAGTTTAACTGAAGACACTCGAAGGTATTTACCGGTTGTATTACCTGAATGTGTTTACCTGTTGTTTTTTACGTACACCTCCCTGCACTGTAATTTGTCAGATTTTGATAGCGTTTTTGCTTTCTTTTGTTTATAAAAATTATAGATAAAAGAAATTATTTTATCGTTTTTAATGCTTAGTTAGTATTGAAATGACTAACTTATTTATAAGTTAATATCTTTTTCTTTTTCAGTTTGAGAGGTTTTATAATTTTTTTTTTCTGTTTTAAATGGTAAATAATCAAGTTTTACGTCACTGAACTTCGAATGCCGTAATACACATAATTATTTTCTTTTTAAAAATCAAAGATAAATGTAGTATAGATAATATAGGAAAATTTCCTTCTTGTTCAAACTTATGTAAAAACAAAATTATTTATGTCTGCGGGATTTAAATTTAAATGATGAGTGGGCAACAATTTTTGAAGAACTCAGTTTCTGTAATTATATAAGTAGGTAACTTCTAAGTTAAAAAGCAATAATTTAAACAAAGCATATTTACTTCCCAAAGAAGTTGAGTTTAGTTTATTACGATTGTTAAGATTCAAATGTTCAAGTAAGACTATTACATAGCGGACTTCTATTTGGTAATATTTAAAAATACAAGGCATTTCGTAATGATCTCACCAGCAATGTATATTTCTTAGGGCCCTTGTCAAAATGTGAAATAAAAAATATATACCCATTAGGGGTTGTAAATTAACATTTACGCAAGAAAAAAGAAACGGTATAGAATTACTTGTGAATAAGGCGGGATATTAAGCATTAAACCAATTTGATTGCCTTAGAAAATTTAGTGGTGGTGCCTACTAATCATTTTTTAAATCCCATCTGTTTCGGCAATCAAACCAGTTTTGATGTTTCCAGTACAGCATTTATTTCAGCAGTGATTGGTTACATTTAAAAAGGGCTTTCTTTCCCCATCGCTTAGTGATCTTTAATCTGTACTTCTTTTTTGCGTCATTTTTAGTAAGTATAAGGGTAAGCCGTGGTGATTCAGGGGATAGATGGCTCGTCTTCCAATTAGGTGACTCTGGCTGGTAGATACGAATTCCACACCCGGCTAGCACCGACCACCGAGCTGACGAAAAATATTCTCAGTGGTAGATGGATCATGATATTCCTCTCCATGCAACTCAAATGCAGGTTTATTCCATCAAAAAGTCCTCCACGCGAGCAATTTTTCCCTATTACTTAATCCAGGAGTTCGATTGTCTTCTGGATTGAGTTTACAATTACAAGGCTATGGAGTTGAACATTGGTAGTCGTAAATCCAACATTGGGTCAGCTGCTGGACAGTTATAAATGTTAATAAGTATAAAGGCAATCGTTCAACACGGAACACACAGTATATACAGATTATTGGCAGTATTCACATTCATAACTGCTAACCTGATTAAAAAATTGTATTGCCTCTGTTTTCAAATAAGTATTAAAATACTTCCAATGGTTTCAATAATTTGTTTATCTGTTATCTTTTAGGTGATGACATTAACCTGAGCAATACTGAAGATCAACTTAGCAACTCACGAATTCTCCAAAAATTAAAAATGTCGGATTTCATAATTGATGGACTCTCACTTATAGCAGAAATACTCGCATGGATCATTGTCATAGCTGGCGTACTTTTCGTACTTTGGTGCTTCTGTGGTTGCTACGTATATTTTTGCGTAGATTGTCGCAAAGATTTAACAGAAGAAGCAGAAAGCCCGCCAAGACCCAGCACTCCAGTAATTGAACGGACCAATACTTTAATGAACATTACTACTATCACTGATGTGGAGAGTGGTTTACGTGTCTTCGATGTGACTGCCATAAATTATGAGTCAATTAATTGAAATTACATCATTTCACCGATGGCTTACTTCCCTAATTATTTAGATAGATCTTCGAATAAACTGTATTTTATTATAAAAATATTTGCAAGGAAATTATTAATTATTTATTTAACTGTATCCAACTCTAGATTTAGATCACGTACTTAATTGTATCTCAGTCTAAGACAATGGCAAAAATAAAGCGCAGACGATTACAGAATCGTGCCTTATAAATTATCATAGAATCTCGTCAGTTTACAAAAGTAAAGCATATAAGCGCGAGTCCAACTTGGAAAGTATTTTATCTCATTTAAGTCTAAGACCATTAGCCAAAATCACACAACGCAAAATGCAGGCGGGGCAAATTTCTTAAGAACGAAATAGCATTCTGATAAATTTTCTTGTATTCTAAATATTTCCTGCAAGTGTATAATAACCCTATTTCGATATTTCTGAGAATGATTGGGATTATTATTGCAACCATTTTCTATGAATAATTTTTAGTATTGATGTTATTGGTGAATATTTTTTAACATGATTTTGTTGAATAATAATAGTTTATGGATGGTGTTTTCTACACTAGGGAACGCTGCTAGTTCGGTACCGCCTAAATTTCTGGGTTACTGTTTCCGTTGTATTTTAAAGACATTTGGCATCATTGTGTTCTGAGATTCTTGCAAACAATGTATTTGATTACTTATTGTGTTTACAATGCTAATAATACTTGTGTTTACAATGCTAAAAGTTATAACACTAACGTAAGATGGTGCACAGCTTGCAACAAGAACAAACAGTAATAAACTTATGGAAAGAGGCCAAATCAAGACTGCCAAAAAAGCGAGTTATTCAAAATCTAGCAACCATGTCACCTTTTTTAATAATAAATAACAAAATAACTAAAACAAATTTTCACTCCAAACTCCCCAGAATTACATAATAGCATTAATATCTTATGAAATACGGCAGATTTGAGCTCAGAAATTATCTAATTTATTTCTTTTATTGAAAACAAAATTATCGGTTTGACAACATCGCCCATCAGAATAACATGTAGTAAGCAGCTGCAAACTTTTTAACCGGAACTAGAGTAGGTGCCGAGCTCGAGATTGTTTACATTTCTACTGAAAACACCATCCATTCATTGAGCTCGAGACAAAATTTTTTAAATTATTGATTTAAATATTTGAAACATAATTTGTGTTGCCAAGAAAGTTTTAATTTCTCTATGATAAATTGTTGATCTTCTTCATTCTACGTTGAAAAATATGAAAATAATTCATTTTTAATAGAAATAAGTAACTAAGTGCGACTGATTTTTAATAAATTACTTATTTTTATGTTCAGTATAGTTCGAACAGTTTACTTAATTTTAAGTAATTTAATTTTTTAAAGGTTATTGTGCTTTTTATGTGTCTTATTATTTAAAATTTTAACATTATGGTTTCAATTCTGTGTTTGAATTTTTTTCAAAACCTTAACATATAACTTGGGTAAAGAATATGATATAATAATTTTTTATTTGTTTTAATCCAGTGAGGGCAATACGATGAATACGGCGATATGAGGGAGATACGAAATATAACTTAGTTAAAGAATATGATATTATAATTTTTTATTTGTTTTAATCCAGAGAGGGCAATACGATAGCGTTTCATTCTGGTAATATAATCATTCTTAAAGAGTCACAATGCTACTTTGACTAACAGAGGAGTCCGAGGCACAAGATTTTTATTCATGTTACGGAAATCTGTTTTAATAACAAAAATAAATTTAATTTTAGTATTTTTCTAAATAAGTCCTGTAGATTTAAACCACCGTTACTAAAGACGCAAATAGCTTTAAATAAAATATTTTAAACTCTTAAAAATCTTTTACGTGCTCACAATAAACAAAATATGAAAGGTTAAACATTTAAAATATGAGTGTGCTCCCTTATACTTGGTACTGCATTAACAGCACGATAAAAATAACAGGAATGCCAAAAACAGAGAAAATAAAATTCAGCAGAGGTACGTGAATAAACAGGTAAACATTCAGCCAGAAGAGTAAAAAACATTAAAAAATTAGTAATTTTAACAGTGAAAGTATTATGGAATTTTTTCATTTGAAAAGTCTCCCAAAAATCTAGATCAATACATTTCTTTAAATAATACACACAAACATTTAAAAACCACTAATTTTTTAACAGTCAACCTTTTAATGTTTACTTTCTTTTAACTGTGTTATATGTAAGTCTGACTAACTGAGGTAACTTCCTTCCATTTGTATAATTTTCGTTTTTGCCATCCGTACTATTTTAAAATTATTATCATTAAGAGCTTTGAACTTTGGATCGCTCTCCTCCCCAAACTGTGGGGACCATATTTCTCATATTGGGGCTACCCCCAATATTTAGGGAGTTAGATATTCAAATCCGTTTAAGAAAAGGGCTGTTTATTCAGAGAAAAAACGTTTTTGTGTCTGATTTCGTAACTTTCAGTATCGTCTGTCCTAATTACTTAGAATATTTGAGGTCACCCCTATAAACCATTAAGATTGAGTCCTAGAATGTGAAGATCCAATCATTAGATCAAAAGTTATTCAGGGTGGTCAGCTTTTCTTCTCTTTCTTTTTGGCACACTGTACAAGAATTGCAGCATTGAGAAAAGATAATCAGAAGAATAAAGCTAGTAATGAATTATTAGACATATTAATAAGCTGACATCCAGAATGTACAGTAGTGTAAGAATTACTGAAATTAATATTTATATTTAAATAGATAACTGAACTCTTTCTAAAAAGTGAAATATTGTGGAATTTCACCAAGAAGATATAGAGGTATATGTATAGATAAAAATTACACTACAACTTAAAAGTTCAGAAACATTCCCTGAATTTGTAACCCTCCTGAATTCTTGAAAGGAGTATAGTCTTAATACTCAAGGGTACAACCCTCTCCTATTACACTATGAGAGAGATATTGCCTATAAATAAAGGAACAAAAAAGCCAAGATCTGAGCACTTACGGACACAAATACAAAAATGTCAACTTAAAACACTTTTTTTGTTAATTACTAGCAAGTTCAAAAAGAGTAATCACTAAAATACAGTTGAATATTGTGCATTACTTTTATCATAATGCATAAAAACAAAGACTTGGACATAGAAAAACAAATAATATTTATTCCAAATTCAAGATATAAATGCATTCAAATTACAAAACGTTTTAACAGTCATTCAAATTTCTCTTTTTATAACATGGATGAATACACCTGCGGCTAAATTCGATCCAGTTTCACAATTTTGGGCACACCAATTCAATTTTGTTAAATTTAGAAAATTATAAGGTGAACAAGCATTGAATATGCTCTTGTGAAAAATTATGAGTTTTTTGAAACAATGTTCATAAAGAAAATACATGATTACGACATGACGGGAAAAAAAACTTTTATCAAATAATTTACTCTTTAATGAGGAGCACTTAAAACATGAAATTCACAGTTCACTTTTCTTAGTAGTATGAATTTTGTAGTGTCTATCTAGATTAACTTTTCGTATAAAAGTTTCGTTGCATATACTACAAGAAAAGGATTTTTCTCTTGTGTGAATACGTTTGTGTCTAGTTAATGAAAACTTATATTGAAAGGTCTTATTACACACATTACATAAAAAAGGTTTTTCACCAGTATGAACATGACTATGCTTAACTAATGATGTATTACGGTTAAAACTTTTATGGCATACTTCACAAATATAAGGTTTTTCCCCAGTATGAATACGTTTGTGAATAGTTAATGAAGACCTATGCGAAAAATTTTGATTACATATATTACAAGAATAAGGTTTCTCACCAGTATGAACACGACTGTGTTCATTTAGAGTTTCTTTACGAGAAAAATTCTTTTTACACACACTACAAGAATAAGGTTTTTCTCCAGTATGAAGACGTTTGTGAGTAATAAATGAAAGCTTATGCGCAAAATTTCTGTTACATATATTACAAGAGTAAGGTTTTTCCCCAGTATGAACACGACTGTGCTCATTTAAAGATTTCAAGGTAGAAAAATTTCTAGTACATATGCTACAAGAATAAGGCTTTTCTCCAGTATGAAGACGTTTGTGATTACTTAATGAACACCTATATGAAAAACTTTTATTACATATATCACAAGAATATGGTTTCTCACCAGTATGAACACGAATATGCTGCAATAAATTTGCCTCGAAAGAAAAACTTTTATTGCATACATTACAACAAAAAGGTTTTTCTCCAGTATGAATGCGTCTATGTTTAATTAAAGAATGCTTAATAGAAAATGTTTCATTACATATATTACAAGAAAAGGGTTTTTCACCAGTATGAACACGACTGTGAATAATTAAATTTCCTTTTAAGGTAAAACTCTTTTTACATATACTGCAAGAAAAAGGTTTTTCTCCAGTATGAAAACGACAGTGAAGAGTTAAGTAACTTTTAGAAGAAAATTTTTTTTTGCACACATTGCAAGAAAAAGGTTTCTCACTGGCATGAACACGTCTGTGAATAATTAAATACCTATTTCTAGTATAACCTTTATTGCAAATACTACAAACATATGGTTTCTCAACATTGTGGACACTATTAAAACTAGGAAAATCCTTTTCTATTGAAAAATCCATATTAATTAAGATACAAAAAGGCTCTCTGTGGTTTACTAAGTTTAGTCTAATTAAATGATATTGTGAAAATCGTATGAAGTGAAACAAAATAAAATAAAAAAATAAAATAATTCTTGCAATTATGTTAAAAAGAATTTTTTTTTCCACATTGAGGTGAGTAAAGAAGTCAAATGAAAACTTTTAAATGGAATTTTAATAGAAGGTTAACAAAGTTTGAAATATTGAAATCATTATCGATAAATGCAAAGTTTGAAAATATCATGCAACATAATAATGTTTCAAATTAAGAAACTAAAAGCATTAGACAATATTTAAATATGTCCCTAGGAAAAAAAACCAATGCCACCAACATTTAACATGCAAATCTGCTTTTGACACAGTTTAAGGAATGGATAAGAACTTGCAATCAGTAGCAATACAAAAAGTTGGGTCTTTATCTTCTAATGGCTCTTGGAACAGTGTGGAAAGTTTCGTGATAAAAATCTAACAGGAATGAGAGAATAAACATTATGAATGGACATAGAAATATATGTATCATATGAAAAAACAGAATTTTTAAGAAATAAATTATTTAAGCAATAAATTCTAACTCAAATATATTAATTAAGATTTATATTTCACGAATTCTGAAATACTTTATAAATAAACTAATCTTTTTGTGACAATCGAAACATCGTCTTAAGTAGTAGTAGATGTAAAAGAATTACCAGAATAAAAAAGTATAGTTTTTAGGTTGGTATGATTGAAATCAAGATTTAAGTTACTTGATTTTTCTTTTAAAAAGATCATTGATTTAAATAAACTATGATTTTTTTAAGAAATCATTAATGTCAACAATGATTTATTTAAAAAAAATTATTAATTTAAGTCTAAAATATTTTTCATACTTTGTGAATATTAAATACATTTAATGCTCAATTTCACTGATAATGAAGATTTTTTACAATGAAATAATATAAGTGATGCACGTAAATTACAGTACAAAATAGACTTTAAAAAAAAGAACTAATAGAGGATAAAAATGGAATGATACTTTTAAATTATATACATTAAAGTAATTTTTAAAAAAATTATGATGCATAAAAATTTGCTAGTAATAAACATATTTTAAATATATCTACTTAGTTTTAAGTGTATTTAAATACAAGTGCTCTTAAAACATATTAAATATGCAGCTAGTGTACATCAATAATGAAGAATGACTTGTTCTATCTAGAGTTACTTTAGAGAACAATTTTTATTCACAAGTAATTTAACTATAGAGAATAATTTTTTACCAATAGTGTTTTCTAATCTAATTTACTCTTCATAGGATAGGTATTTAAATGATGAAATCTCTCAATCTCAATCATTCATTCGAAGTTGAGCTTGAAAATCTGTAACAATAAAATATTTTAACTATTTTTGTAAGAAATATTAACTATTTGCGTTATAATATTGTTTTCAAATAAATTACATATTGTAAATACATTTTGTCATACGCTTTGGTTAGCAAAAAAAAAAAAAAAAAANAAAAAAAAAAAAAAAAAAAAAAAAAAAAAAAAAAAAAAAAAAAAATCTGAATTAAATATACAAATCCGATTTCAATTAAATAAATCTGATAATTGAAAAAAAAAATTCTATTTCACCAACTATGGAATGGTTTTATTACTATCGGGTTGTTCGGAAAAGTAATTTCTTTCTTTTTTTATGAAAAGAAAAGGCGATCTTCTTAATTTTCTTGATGTTTGAAAAGTAAAACATAGACATCAATGCAGTAGCACTAATTAGATTTTATAAGAACTTGGGAAATCTATATGCCGGACAGTTACAGTCGAACTATATGTTACTGGAAACAAAACAAGTTTTTGTTCTTCATTTCTCACAATTTAAGAAAGCAAGCAAAAAGAAGGCAGGCTGAACAACATGGTTTTAAGAGTAAGATGTTAATATACTTTCGAGATAGGAGCTTGTCTTCCTTTTAAAGTGCATTTAGATGTAAACATGCTCTCTTAATAGGGATAATGGTTTTTTCTTGATTTGCAACAGAGTATAACTAGTTAATACCCATCAGCCTTTATTTTTGTTACACTTTAAAACAGCACTACTTAGCATAATATTAGCAGTGCATATTACTAAAAAAAAAATGAAATATCATTGGCATAATAGAATTTTTTATTATTAATAGCTAGAATCTTGAGCCATACATCGACTTATAGAATATCACAATATTGTAGGAAAAGTAAATGGGTTGCTATTTTTTGCGTGTTATCTTTATTTTTTTATCAGCAAGAGTTAAATGAATTTACAAAATAAAACCTTAGCCACCATTTTGTTCACAACTAACAAGGTAAATTTACATTGTTCAAATGCAGGAATCAAGTTCGCTTTTCTAAAGAAGGAATTTTGGAAGCTAAAGAATAAAATTCAATAATTTTTTCCTAATAAACAATAAAAATTCATATACATACCATACTAGAGCCAAACATAGATATCAAGCTATATAATTTAAATATCAATCATAAGTTGAGCTTGATTATATAAATTAGCGAAGTCAATATTTTATTCTAAGTTCAATATCAAGTCTCAGTGCAACAAAGAAAGTGAATTTATTAGTTAAGTTCAATCAAACCAAATGCAAAAATTAGGAATGCGATCAACCCGTTTGACGAGTGCTTGGAAAACAAAGATTATGACAGAAGATGAAACCGAACAAGGATGAGTGATTGATATATTAAAACGCTTCATGCTACTTATTTCTGTCTTTGCATCGCATCGTATTAAAGTTAAGAGAAATAAGCATTTTTACGTGACATCTTTGGTGGCGCTAGTGTGTGTAAAAGTATGGATGGGTGATCGTGTAAAGCTAAGGGTGGTGGCGCTAGTGGTAAAATTGCTCCTTCAAGACTTCCGGGTTACTGCTTCCGATATATTTTTACGCCGCAGATTGAAAAAACNGAGCTTGTCTTCCTTTTAAAGTGCATTTAGATGTAAACATACTCTCTTAATAGGGATAATGGTTTTTTCTGGATTTGCAACAGAGTATAACTAGTTAATACCCATCAGCCTTTATTTTTGGTACACTTTAAAGCTGAACTACTTAGCATAATATTAGCAGTGCATATCACTAAAAAAAAATTAAATATCATTGGCATAATAGAATTTTTTATTATTAATAGGTAGAATCTTGAGCCATACATAGACTTATAGAATATCACAACATTGTAGGAAAAGTAAAAGGATTGCTATTTTTTGTGTGTTATCTTTATTTTTTATCAGCAAGAGTCAAATGAATTTACAAAATAAAACCTTAGCTACCATTTTGTTCACAACTAACAAGGTAAATTTACATTGTTCAAATGCAGGAATCAAGTTCGCTATTCTGAAGAAGGAATTCTGGAAACTAAAGAATACAATTCAATAATTTTTTTCTAATAAACAATAAAAATTCATATACATACCATACTAGAGCCAAACACAGACATCAAGCTATACAATTTAAATATCAATCATAAGTTGAGATTGATTATATAAATTAGCGAAGTTAATATTTTATTCTATAAGTTCAATATCAAGTCTCAGTGCAACAAAGAAAGTGAATTTATTAGTTAAGTTCGATCAAATCTAATATAAAAATTAGGAATGCGATTAAGCCGTTTGATGAGTGCTTGGAAAACAAAGATTATGATAGATGATGATTGATAAAACAAGGAGTAGTGATTGATGATTTGAAACGCTTCATGCTACTTATTTCTGTCTTTGCATCTCATCGTATTAAAGTTAAGCGAAATCAAATTAAATATCTCCAAAGTTTTTACGTAACATCTTTGGTGGCGGTAGGGTCATCAATACACTGTGTGTAAAAGTATAGACATATCTATGCATTGCCCATCTAATTGCGACGTTCTGAAATGTCAGGTTGCGATACGTAAACTCCACCATTTTGGCAAAACTGTAGCCCTACAATGGATTCCCGGGCACTGCGATATTGCAGGAAATGAGAGGACTGATGTTCTGGCAAAGAGAGGCATAAGAATTCTCCAGGCTCTTAGTAGCCCAGTCCCCTTCTCAACTTTAAAAAGGATTATTAGATCAAAAATCAATGGGAATTCCCATCATCAATTATCAGAAAGGGTAAAAATCAAAGTGTGGGGAGATCTTCGACAGAACACCATTCCAGACTGGCCGCTTCGCGAAGCGATGGCTTAGTTTCGACTATATACCGGACATGACTGCCTAGCCGCGCACCTGATCCCTATTGTTCTCTGTGCATGAGCCAAGCTGTTTTTGATGGCAGCCACAACCTGCGCTGCAGGGCCTTCCGCGGGTCGTCGTCTACCGAGCGATATTGGGAAGCAAGAGTGCTCCTGAGGAAATGACTTTTTACTTTCTTGTTTTGTTCCTGTGTTTTTGCTTTTCAACATGTCAATTCACCTCTGCCATTTGAAATAAATAAAAGTATAGACATAGCCACTTTTTTTTTGTACTGTACTAAGTACAATACAAAAGAATGCAATTAAATTTAATAATTAAATCTTCATATACTAGGACTCAATTTTAATGGTTCGGGACNAAAAATTTTTTTGGCCTTACGACCTCTGAGAATCAATACATTTCTGAAAGCTCTTATGAATGGTACAATTATGTTTAGATTTGAACCCAAATTACAATAACAAAACTGCATAGAATATTAGGCTTGTTCACACATCGCCTCGTAGTCATAACATAAGCGGAGGGATACACCGGAAATTTTCTAAATTTCTTCCGGTTTAAGGACGCTTGTTATTGTTTACATTAGACCACCCATCCATAAACATTGCCATTTTTCTTGTACTGTACTAAGTACAAGATAAAATAAAAAAAAATTCAATTAAATTTATAAATTGAATTTTCATATAGTGGGACTCAATTTATATGGTACAAAGGAGGGACCTCAAATATATTTAATTAATTGGTGCATATATTTTAATTTAAGAAATCCGACACAAAATCATACTTTCTCTGCATAAAAATAGCTTTTTTTATTTCGTATGGAATTTGGATTCCTTATTCCCTCAATGTATGAGGGGTATTGACAATCTAGGAAATAATGGTCCTAATAGTTTGGTGCACCATATCTCGAGATTCTTTTAAGTGAATCGAAATATTCCAAAGATAATTTCGCGAAAAAATGAATTTTTAATAATTATTTAAAATTTTTATTATTTTATTTAATAATAGTCAAGATTTAGATTGGTAGGCACTTTATTTACGTCGCACTAGAGCTGCACAAATGGCTATTGTCGACGGTATGGGAAACATCCCTAGGGATGATAGGAAGACATGCCATTGCAATTTTGATTCTCTGCAGAGGGGGTGGCTCACCTGCTTTGGTATCCTGACGACCTGCGCGTGAAGTTGTGCACTTTACGGCAGAACAGTTTAACGAGGACCGATACCGCATACCTTAATCCCCATACACAGGCTGATCAAAGTGGCCACCCACCCGCTTACTGACCGCAGCCAGTAATGCTTGCCTTTTGGTGTTTTACTGGGAACCGTGCTTTCCGATCAGTCCACTGCGCGACTTTTAAATAATATAATTTTAAAAGGCAAAATTTAAACGAAATTCATCGAAAAGCTCCTAAGAAACGTGCGGCGTATATACTTTCACGTATGGCTACATACGCAGAAAGTAAAATGAACACTCAGAAGTCCAAACTATTGAGACCTTGTTTTGAGAGTAAGGTATGTTTGCTCAGTTAAAGTGCGTTGTGTCGGATTTAATGACTTATAATATCGTCTAATCAGCATATCTGAGGTCACGTCTTTGAACCATTAAGATTGAGTTCCATTACGTGAAAATCCGATCACTAAATTCAAAAATTTTAGGGTACTCCTTTTGGAGGGGGGTTTATTAGACTTGTGGAAAATGGCTAAAATAATTTTTTCTTATTCTTTGGATCAAAACTATAAGAGATTTTAAAATTTGACTGAATGTAACAAAATGACGTAACTAGAGAAGGTGACTCATGTGTACTTAATGTCTTTAACTTTTTAACAGAACAGCTAATACTTAGGGGTCATTGATCTGGGTATCATTAGAAAGAAAGAAAAAAAAAACGAATATTATGCATTATTATTAGTGTATATAAACTATTAAAATTCTGGATATAGATACAGAAATATTATGGAAAAGGTGTTTATAGAAAACTTTTTGGGAGGAACTTTGTTTGCAAAATACAAACATTTTTAAAGGTTAGTCCCAACTTTTGCATCTTTAATTTCTTTTACATAACTGTTAAATATCATACCTTGAAATAAAAACAAAAAAATCCCGGTCAAACAAGGAAAAATGAATCAACAAATGCGTGAAGATGCTAGGAAAGCGTTGGACCAGTGGAATTTGTGCTTGCAGTGATGCTGAACATATTCTTCGTCATTGTAGTCTGTATGCGAGTGCCCGAATGAATTTAAAGACTGATTTGAGCCGTCTTTCTATTTGTTGGCCACCTGTCTTATCAGAACTGGTCAAAAGTATTGAAAGTCCTGCGGCCTTGCGGAATTTTGTTTTTAATGTAAATTGTTCTTCTTTTTGTTTTCTACTTACAACTGTAAGCCTCATGCTATACTTTGTGGTGTATGAGGAGTTTTAAGTAGTTTAAATAGAAAAAAAAAAGGAAAAATGAACGTATTTTTTGACATTAAAAATGATTTTTAGCCAAAAAATTTCAAGATTTTTTAAAAGTAAAATACAATTTAAAATTTAATTTTACTTTTTAGAAATATCTTTCAATATAACTAAAAAATAAAAAATCAAGATTTTGTTTTTTGCTTCCGGTCATTAGAAAAAATAAGATTTTAGACGTGTAAGTTAGATAGGTTGCATCTTAGGGCCCTGAACAAAAATCCTTTTTTTTCCGCTCGGAGCTGTTTAAAATTTACAAACCCTTTCCCAAAAATATATATTTCTTCCATTGCCCGGCTTTGGTCAAAATCTGCAGATCAACAAAAAGGATTCCTCCCTAATTTCTTGTAAACCTGTTGCCGCAACCGTTGTTTATTCCATCTTTTTTTAGTGTCAAATTTCTAGGACCATCTTCGTTTGAAAAAGGAAGCATTTACTAAATTGGAGGGAGGCGGGAGGTGTAATATCACATGTCACTTTTTAACCAATAATAGGATAAACTTTATTACTTATTTGAACTTTCCCCTCTTTCAATTACTCCTTTTACAAATATTCAGCAATTTATTGCAATTGTCCAAAAATTTCTGTAATCATTTAGAAGTGATATAAATTTTTAATTAAAAAAATTAGAATTTTAAAGAAAAATGTATGTGTGTATGTGAGAGAAAAAGTTTTATATGTTTTTCATATATTGAAATTGTCAGATAAAAGACATTTTTCTTATTCATTCAAAATTTTTATGCAGCTTTTCAATGTGCTTGCAAATGAAATGAATAAACTTAAAATATTTTTCTGTTGTAATTTTTTTGTCTTTTAAAGAATCAAAGTTTATGTGTTGTCTACATTCTAGTCTCATTACTATTAATATATTTCAACGGTATAATAAAATAGTATAAAAAATATTTTCAGCCAAGTAATATCAAATGTTTTTAAGGAATGAGGAATGAAAAAATTCTTGGTGTATGGGAATATGGAGTTGAGCACAAAAGGGCCCACAACGTACAATCGAAGTCCTTGCCAAGCTTAAATTCAGTCATGGCTACAATAATTTAAGATTTTTTACAACAAAAAAAAAAGGTGTTTCGTCTCACTTTTATTCTTCATAATGTAATTAATCATCTTTTTTAACATAAAAAAATCAAGAGAGTATTTTCTTTCTTGATTTATACCTGGGATTATTTCACTATGAAAAATCATCTTGAAATACTTATTTTGACTAAAACACCTTTTGATTTTTCTGTAAAAAGTACCTTGAAGTCTGTTAAAAAAATTTCAACTGAAAATTTTAAAACAATAAGCAATAATAGAATAGTTTAACGAAGATCAGTTTAGTTCACCCTTGGTCTCTTCGCAGTCTTATTAACGTGGTTAAGCATCAGCTCACTCACTGCTGCCAGTGATGCCTGACTTCGGTGTTCTACAAGAACTAAGCTGACCAGCATTCTCAAGAAACTAAAAAACTGGTAACAAAATTTCCATACTAATATTTGAAAACTATCTGCTTAAATATTCTTAAAACAGAGATCTCTCGCAGGGATTCTCTAAATGAAAAATAAGTAAATAAAATGAATAATAAAGAGGGGAGTTTCCGAATGTTCGTTTAGATTTGCTACCAGTTTCTTTCATATTTTAATACAGTTTAGGTAAATCTGTTTAAAATTATTATGATCAACATTCGAAAATAGAAAATGCTGATTTCTCCCAACAGACTCGAGAGCACAATATTATATTATTTCTAAAGGACTGCCATCTTACATATATGCTTTGTCGTGTAAATTTAAAAGTAGTGAGGTCTCTTAAATTATAGGCTATATTTATCAGAAAAAAAAAGCTGCTATAAATAGTAGGGGGAAAAAAACTTTTTAACTGTGAAAAATTCCAAGTTCTGATAAGGGGATCAAATGATTTTAGCGCATCAAATGTCTTGTTAAACAATTTTAGACACATGACGTAATTTCGACCGAACACTTGTACATTGTGTGTTGGTGTTCTTCTACGTAAATAATTTGTACAATAAAACATTCGGCGTGTTGTACGTATTGCATTATGAACCGAATTCGAAATTTTTGTGAATGTATCATCCACAAATATGCAAAACATAAAGAATAATAATGAAACTTTTACAAGAAACTAAACTCTCTTTCAAATTACGAAACGTGTTGAAGAACTACAACGATCAGAACTTCAATGGAGATTAAAAATATAAAGTCGAGCACAAGTAGTTTTTGACGCTAAAAATATAAGGAATTTTCTCGCCATAGCATGGAGTTAACACCAACGTTTCACTTTTCAAGAATTGTATTTATCTATTGCAGGCAGGGCCGGATTAACCTATAAGCACACTAGGCACGTGCCTAGGGCCTACGAAATTCAGGGGCCTACGAAAAACGTGGGAGAAAAAAATTTGTTGACAAAAATAATTTAGCTTTAAAAACAACAAGTGTATTTTGCACAAAATTATGAAGATACAAATAAAAATATTATATTTTTCGGTAATAAATTATTTTGCAGAATCTTATGATCTAATATATTACTTTTTTGCGATTCAACGAAATCTTGTATTATGCTGTCGAATTCCAAACTACGCAAAATGTCGTATTCAATAGACATAAGTGCGAGCGATGCCAAACGATCTTGATTCATTGTTGAACGCAAATAATTTTTTATCAATTTTAATCTGGAGAAAGATCTTTCTCCTTCTGCATTTGATCCAAGAATCGACAAATATATTCTTAATGCAATGTGAACGTTAGGAAAAGTATTCACAAGTTTATCTTTAATTGCCTCTACGGCCTACGAAAATTGGCTATGCCTAGGGCCTACGAAAGGTATAATCCGGCTCTGATTGCAGGATTTATCTCTTTATAGAGTATTGCCTTCCTAATTATTTCAATACTTAAGAGTGATATAGATCAGGGGTGATTGTGAGCCCAAGTCAAAATTCCGGAAAATTTCTTGAGTTTAAAAAAAAAAAAAACAGTTTAAATTGAAAAAAATTTAAACAAGTTTTTTTTTTCCTTTTTCTTAATATTTCTTAGTTTTCTTAAAATATATTTAAAATTTTACACATACCTATGATGACCAGGAGAAGTAATTAAAATTTACAAATATGTCTTTCTTTCTTGAGTTTATGATTATAACAACTATTTACTGATAAAAAAATGAATATAATTCATGAATATAAGCTTATAAAGTATCTCTCTGGCTCTCCCTTACAAACAAATAAAATAAACTGTGTTTTTAAGTTCCACCTTTGAAAATTAACCTTTCAATTCCGGAAACTTCTGTGATCAATGATTTTTTTAAACGTCTGGACCACCGATTTCCGGAAACTTACGGATCACTGTTAGCAAAAATTCCGGAAATCCAGATTTTTTCCGGAGCACAATCAGCCCTGATAGATTAAAAAATAAAATAATCTCACAAAGAGAATTTTTCGAAAGTAAATAGCCAAAATGAGCGATAACTCAAAAGATAGCAAATCATTAATTTTATTTATTGATTGTTTCTAATATTTTAAGATCAACTAAAGTTTTTGTGCATACAACTCTTTGAAAAATTTTATAAATTAATTAAGGCTGAAAGCCAAACTTTTTAGAATATCCAGCCTGTTCACACTTAGCTTTGTAAATATGTATAAAATTATAGGAAGAACACGCCGGAAGTTCCACTTTTAGAAAACTTCTTATTGATTATATTCGGTTAAGTATCCTTGAATATAAAAATTGATTATGTTAATATTTAAATAGATTACTTAACTCCTTTTCAAAGCATAATAATGGAGAAATTTGTGCAAGTGCAATCGTTTTAAAGACGCAATCCATATAGATCAGTCACAGTAATTAATACATAAAGGAAAAAAGTATACTACAGCTTTAAAAAATATACAACAAATAAACTTTAAAAACATTTCTGTTTTTTAATATTTCCGAAGACTTGTCTTAATTTTTACAGTAGTCGCATAGGAATTCGTTTTAAACAACAAGAGGACACAGAATGGGAGCAGAGACATTACTATCAATAAAAAAGCCAAGATATGAGCACTTAAGAGCACACGTATAGCATATTTTTTAAAAAATTTGTACCGATTTATTACAATTTTGAAGTGAGTTATTACCAAAAAAAAAATATTGAATTGTGTAATGCTTTTACTATAATGCACAATGTCCAGGGTACGAAAAAACATTTATTCTAAATGCAAGATACAAATACATACAAATCTTTTAACAGTTTAATCGCTTGGGTGTATCGGTTCACTCTTTGATGTTTAACCACTTAACAATGTTTTAACAGTTATTCAAAATGTTCAGACATTAGGAAAAAACATGATGAAAATTTTCACTGAAAATTGAACAAACAACTATTACATTTCACTTGAATCATAATTTATTTTTTAACTTTTTTGTTTATTTTATGAAATTTTTCAAATATTTTGTATTTTATTAATTACTGAGATAATATATCACCGACAATGACGATATTAGATCCATTGCCACCCATTGGATTCAATGTTGCTACCCTGGTTACAATCGCAGGTAGCACGGTTCTTTTCCGATGCCATCCAAACCTTTGAGTTATGATCGAAACATCCACGTCGAAAAATAGTCCAACTGTTGTAGTTTATTATCAAATAAAGGTTACATAAAAATAATTGTTTCGGTTTTGTGCCATTAAACGGAACTAACTTTCGAGTTTACTCTCGTATTACAAGAGTTAGGTTACACATCAATATGAACATGATTCTGAACAATTATATTTTCCTTCAAAGAAAACTCCTTGTTTCATACACTACAAAAATGAGGCTCTCTACTCAATGAAAGCAACTGAGAATAAATAAACTATTTTTCATAAAAAACTTTTATTATTACATATACTATGGGAAAAAAGTTTTTCTCCAGTATGAACACGTTTGTGATAAGTTAATGAAAATTTATGCAGAAAAGCTTTATTACATACGTTACAAAAATAAGATTTCTCCCCAATATGAATACGACTGTGCTCAGTTAGAGTTTCTTTACGAGAAAACTTCTTTTTACATACACCACAAGAATAAGGTTTCTCACCAGTATGAATACGTTGGTGATTAATTAATGAAAATTTACGCAAAAATGTTTTACTACATACATTACAAGAATAAGGTTTCTCACCGGTATGAATACGACTGTGGACAGCTAGATGATTCTTCAAGGAAAAACTCTTATTACATACACTACAAGAATAAGGTTTCTCACCTGTATGAACACGACCATGAGTAAACAGATCACCTTTAGCTGAAAAACTCTTATTACATAAACTACAAGAATAAGGTTTCTCACCTGTATGAATACGAGTATGAACAGTTAAATTACTTTTACTAGAAAAACTAGTTTTACATACACTACAAGAAAAAGGTTTTTCACCAGTATGACTAAGTTTATGACTAGTTAAAGAACTATTTCTTGTAAAATTCTTATTACATATACTACAAGAATAGGGCTTTTCCCCAGAGTGAATACGGCTGTGAACAGTTAAGTTACTTTTCTGAGAAAAACCTTTACTACATACATTACAAGAATAAGGTTTTACACCAATATCAACAATACTAATTGTAGACAAATCATTGTGTTGTGAAAAGCTCATTTTGTCATATATGAGCACTTTCTTAAAAATGTAGGCTAGATTTAAATAAAATCTTAAAATATGTTATATATTTTTTTCAAATACCAGAATGGCTTTAGTAATTGGCGATTAAAATATCATAATGGCACACCATATTAGAAGATCCTGAAAGCAAAAGAAATAAGTTAATCATTATTTTAAAAGCTGCCAACAATTGCCAACAAATAAAAAATTTCTTCAATCAATTCTCATGCCGCTTGAAGAAAGAATAAATACACTAACTTACTTACATTAGCTTTTGATGCAGGTGAAGGTACAAATACGAAGTTGATTATGGAGCAACAAGTTAGGACATTATTTTCTAGCTGCTTTTAGAACAGTGCTGAGATTGCTTGATAAAAATCTAAAATAAATGAGGGAATGAATATTTCACACATATATACACCAAAATCTAATTTCAAATATATACACCAAAATCTAAACATCAAAATTTCAAATGAAAAAAATGTTGTCTTATTTATTTAGGCATTAAATTCCACTACTGAAGTTTAAAGAGTTATGTCTCAAGAATTCAAAGTTACTTTATAAATGTATTTATGTTTTTATTCAAACCCAAAGAACATTTATGGTACTAGAATTTTCAATTATCTTTATTATACTACAGATCTGCAAAATTTTGAAATTCAAAAAGACTGAGTTTTTTTGTTATCACTGCAAAGCAAAACAATAATAAATAAATTCACAAATATAGTGAATAATATAATCTTTCTTTAAATATAATTTATTCAAGTAAGTTTTTTACCTCAAAAAATTACAAAATAACAAATTAATTCAAAACAGCCTGAGTGACTAACTTAGCATTTTTAAAAAACCTTATACTAAATTTTTTTTCAAACTCTTTTTGGTTTGCTTTCTCAGTCTTCTAATTTTATCTCAAACTCAGTATTTTTAATTTGTAATTTCAAAACAAATATTGATGAGATGTGAATCTTCACATAACTTTACAATGAAAACTGAGCGGTTTGTCATAGACTACTTGTTTAATTTTAAAGTAAAAGTATTGTTCTGTAGACAATTGCAATTAAGCTCCTTCTTTGGCCTTGGAAAAAATTTTAAACTTATCTTACGGTATACAAACAATCATAAACAGAATTTATCAACGAGTAAAAGATTATACTTGAAAAACATATAATTTAACAAGCAGGATTTTATTATAAATTGCGAGTGGATTTACGAATCACAAAATAAATATAAACCATTACAATATTAAGAACAATTTGCAAAGAAAACACTTTAGAGACGATAGAGTAAAAAAACAATTTACTTTTTCATAATATAAAAAGTTTACCTACCATATCAAATCTAAACTAACAAAGCTTTATAATTCAAATAGGAGTCATAAATCGAGCTTCTTTACAAAGTTAGTGTGTCAATACATTACACAAAGCTCCAGTCTACATATGATGTTGCAAAGAAAGAGAATTTATAAGTTTAGTCCCAGAATTTAGCTACCAAATAGAAGATATATTAAAATATACTCATGATTTGTATACGATATTATTGAAAAGCAAGTCGTAATTGATGATTGATGGATTACCACAGACGTTTTAGGCTACTTATTTCTGTTAACAAATTTCATTACATCAAGGTTTAAGGCTTGAACTGTAGATGATAACACAGAAGAAAAGTTCCAGCCCCCTAGTGAGCAGTTTGTCTAAATAAAACTTCATTGAATGTAATTTGTTCTTTTTTTTTTAATTTGATTTTCATAAATTGAAAAGATAAAAATAATTTATAACATTCTATCTTTGTCTCTGTACCAGAAAATTCTGAAATTCGCAAATTTTACCGATGTTTTACGCATTTTTTCCAAACTTTTTACAGATTTATAATTTGTAAATTTTAAAATTTAAAGAAAGATATTATATTCTTAAAAATTAATTTTTAATATCATTCTGAAATTCAAATGCTTGAAATAATTAAAAAAAAATACAATTTAAGTACTTTAAAAAATAAACAACTAAAATAAAATAAAGAACATTTTGACATCCAAGCTGTCTAAAATATTAAATTTAATAAATATCAAGGATAATAATAAAAGATTGATTATTAAAAAATTATTTCATTGCTATAATGAAAATTTAGACAGAATCCTACTTCTGCCAAGAAATCTGAAAAACATTTTCGCTGTTTTCCTTTGCTAGTAACGCAAATTTGCCGACCGGATTGTGTAGGGGTCAGGGAAATGGCTTTGCATCAGAAAGGTTCTGGGTTCGAATCTCGGGCAAGGCATGAATGTTCCTTCATTCTCTGTTCTATCTGTCCTTGTGTAAGCAACGTTGGCCCACCTAATCTAGTGCCCCTGAAAAAGTGGTCAACAAATCTGCTCTGTAATGCATGTATGACGAAGGTCACTTTCCAGGAGGGCATTGGAAAAAAAAAGTATCGCAAAATTTGATCTGTGTTAATTTTATATAAAATAGGCTACAACCATAGCTTTTATAAATATGATGTTACTCCTGTACTTACATTGCAAGCTACTCTGATTTCTGGGTTGTTTTAATAATTTAAAGGAATGTTTCACAACATTATGACAGGTTATCTCTCAAAGATGATAAAAAAAATTACTGATTATAAAAAATTATTTCATTGCGATAATGAACATTTATCAGGAATCCTATTACCGTTCTGCAATCTAAGAATTTTTTGAGGTTTTTCTTTGCGTGTAACACAAAATTTGATTATTTTAATTTTATCTTAATTAAAATAAGTTATTCTTATAACTGTCCTAAATATGATTGTAGTACTCCGATACTTAAAATGTTAGTTAATTTGATTTTTGGATTGAATGAAAAACAAGGGCGTTTTGTAATATTCACAAATATGATAATATATCAAGGACAATAAAAGAAAATGATTCATTATTAAGAATGACTGATTATTAAAAAATAATTTCTTCAAAATAATGAACATTTAGTTGGAATCCATATTACCGATAAAAGCAATCTGAAAACCATTTTCGTGATTTTCCTTACGGTGTAACGCATAATTTGATAATTTTAATTTAATCTTAATTAAAATAGGTTATCTTTATAGCTTTCATAAATATAATTGTATTTTGATTTCTAGGTTGAGTTAATAATCAAGAGCTTTTCCTTATATTCGGAAAGATAATACCCTATCTATCAAGGATAATAATAGTAAAAAATGGTTGTTTATAAAAAATAAAAATAATAATTTCATCGAGATAATGGTGAACATATAGCTGGAATCCTATTACCGCAATCTGAAAATCATTTTTGTGTTTTTTCTTTGGGTGCAACGCAAAATGCGACTATTTAATCTTAATTAAAATAAATTATTTTTATGAATTTCATGAATAGGATGATACTCCGATACTTAAATTAAGACTTACTTTGTTTTATTGGTAGTGTGAAAAATAAGAACAGCGTTTCATTACATTCACAAAGAAGATAAACCATATATCAGGGGTGGCCAACCTGCGGCTCGCGAGCCACATACGGCTCTTTGAAGGATTATTTGTGGCTCTCGATAAATGTACCAGAGTTCCCTTTTCATTTTTGTGTTATTATTTTTTTTAAAAATTATTATCGTTCCGTTTGTGTTTCAAAATGTCTTCTAAATTACTGAGAACAAATATGAAAGACTAAGTGCAACGTTGAAAGTGAGTTTTCCATTTCCAATATACTCGTAATTATGACACAAAAGCACCTGGAGAGTTAGAATTAATAGAGATGCAAGAAGATCAAACTCTACAATTTAAATATAAGTCGACATCGATTACTGAATTTCGAAAAATTAGTACCAGAATCGAAGTATCCTGAATTACAAAAGGCTGCTTGTCGAATTATTTCAATATTCGGAACAACGCACTTATGTGAATCATTTTATTCCACTTTAAAATTCGTGAAATCCAAACACCGATCAGTATAAACTAATCAGCATCTCATAGAATTACTCAGAAGTGCTGCTACCAATTATTCACTAAATTTTAAAGAATTATCAAGAGAAGTAAAATACATGTGTTTAAATTTAAATTCAATATACATATTTTGTACTTTTACTTATATGTTTTTTATAAATATAATTTATGTAAAAAAAAAAATTAATACCTTTTTGCATACGTATTTATTTGCGGCTCGCGAAAAATTTCAAATTTCGAAAAATGGCTCGACTATGTAGGAGCTCGGCCACCCCTGCCATGTATCAAGGATGATAAAAAAAAATTTACAAATAAATTATTGATCATTAAAAAATAAGTTCTTCGATATCAGGAGCATTTAGCTGCCTGGAATCCTAATACCGGTAAAATTAAGTTGAAAAAAATCTTCGTGATTTTTCTTTTGCGTGTAAAGCAAAATTTGATCATTTAAATTTCAATTTAATCTTGGTTAAAATAAATTATTTTTATAACTTTCATAAATATGGTTTTACTGCGATGCTTGAATTGCGAGCTACTTTGATTTCTGAGTAGAGTTAAAAATTACAAAAATATGAAGAGCATTTCATTATGATCACAAAGATGATTGGCTGTGTGTCAAGGATATATATATATAAAAAAATATTTATTATAATTTTTTTATTATTGTGATTACTAAGCATTTAGCAGGAATTCCCTTCGGTTTCCCTTTACGTGCAACGCAAAATATTATTGTTTTCTTTAAAAAAAAACATTTATAAAGGCAGCAATATTTACATAAATTATGAGTTATTTTATCATTCTTCCTTGTTAAAACTACAAAAGAAGAGCATTTGATTAATTGCAATTCACAAGCAAGATAGATAGTTATTTGCGGTCAAAATGTATATAAATAAATAAATAAATTTGGCAGATTTCGATTTTAAAACTTTAATAAACAAATAAATTACAAGCAATATCCAAAATAATATACTGGTTTTCAGAGAAAAATATAATATATTTGAATTTAAATTATTCTGCTTTGTAATGATGAACACTAATTACGCGCAATGCTTAAGTAGGGCAGAGAAATAACAGACTTAAAGATGCGAGCGCCTTTTTTTGTGCGTAAAATCGGCTTGTCACTAGCGTGTTGCTTTTCAAAATTCTCCCTCGAAAAGTTAGAAGTCCTTAGTCCCCATATTTATCCCTGAGTGGGCCGGGATAGCCTGGTTGGTAGGGCACAGGGCCCATGTCCAAGAGTTAGTGGCTTCGATCCCCGCCGGCCGAATACTCCCCTTGTAGTAAAATGGTGACTGATGCACGTTAAATCTGTCGACTCGTAAAGTTCTCCATGTTCCCATAACAAATCAATACCTCTGGGGGTACTGTTTCAGAAGTTTCCTTGTCTTCTTGATTGGTTCAAAATTACAAGGCTACAGAGTTGAACATAAATGTCGTAAACCCAAAAATTGGGGTCGGCTGTTCAACGACGGATATAAAATAAAATATATTTATCCCTGAGTCGTGATGGCTCAATTAATTTAAATCGAAATCTAACGGCCTAATTAAATCTAAACTCATACTTTTCGATTTTCTTCAAAAATGTTTCCAATTTTTTTTAGAAAAAGGCTTAATTATAATTTTTAAATATTATTTTTCTTATTTAATCTTGAAAAAATTTACCCTCTGTTGGATGTTCTCAAATTTTCCATGTTTGTTTTATTTCATTTTAAGTTTTATTTTGCTTAACTATATCTTATTTAAATAACACCATGGTATAAATAATTTTAAACCAATGAATAAAATGTGGAGCCGTTGGTAGTTCATGGGATAGAACACTCGCCTCCTACTGAGATAATCCGGGTTCGAAACCCAGCGATGGCTGGTCGATACGAATGTCGCATCCGGCTTGTACCGACCACAGTGCTGACGTAAATAATCCTCAGTGGTAGACGGATAATGGATTAGAGTTCCCTTGCCGTCAGGCTAACCGCGGAAGGTCCTCTAGGTCTTCTTCTCCATGTAACGCAAATTCGGGTTAATTCCATCAAAAAGCCCTCCACGAAGGCAATTACTTCCACTACTTGATCTAGGAGTTCCCTTGTCTTCTGGATTGGGTTTAAAAGTCCAAGGCAACGTCGTTGAACATTAGTAATCGTAAATCCAGAAAATTTGAGTGGCCGTTCAACGACGGTTATAAAAAAAAAAATCATAATTGGTAATTAAAATGGCTTTAAGCTTGCTAACTAGTTTCACTTAACATTATTATGCCTTAATAAAAGATTTTTGCAATTAAAAACTTTTCTTTTTTTTAATGTTTAGATCCAAGAACTGAGACTTTACTAATCTAAGTCTTAAATATGTGAGTTGAAATGGCGAATTTATATGCGTATGGGGCATCAATCAGCTGTGGGTACCAAAAATCTCATCCTCTACTTATCGGTTATAAGGACCATGTGTGTTAGTGACTGCTTTTGAGTTTGCACCAATATTAACATAAGAAGCTATGAAAAATTAGTATGAAGTTTATCATCATGCATTGTAAAAATTATAGCGATATTTTCCCAATTAATCTCATTTCTACATTATTGTCAATATTTTTGCTACCCAAATAAAACTTAGAAACCCTCACAATAATTATTTAATAATTATCGCCTTGTATATTGTTTACGATATTATCCTATTCGATGCACAGATGTATCAGTTGCTGTTGACCTGT